GGGGTGTCCTGCATGCGTCTACTGCGCATCAGCCCCCGGAGGCGAGGACGGGGGACCAAAGCCCCGCGGCGTTCATCCTCGGGCGCCTCCCGCGGCCTGCTCGGCACGCCGCCTTTACCCTGCCCCGGTCCGTCCGCGTGGGCTCGGACACGCGACGACGTCTCTGTGGACCCATCTGGGGGGGGGCATCGATGAGAATCCCAGAGATACAACGTCCCGAAAAACTTGGAGCGGCGGGTTGGGAGCTGGTTTCGTCTTCCAGGGGCCCTCGCCAGGCCTCGGGACAGTCAAGCATCGATTGAGGACTAAAAGCCGCCCTAGGGAAGTGGTCCAGACCTCTGGGGCACGCGCACGTGGCCGCACTGAGGTCCCCGTCTTTGCATCAGGAATACTAGATCTGAGCGGTTTGGTTTGATGCACCTGCAACAAGAGAGCCCCTGTCCCTCTAATTTTGTTAGCCTGCAAACTCAGGCCGCTCCCACAGGGTTTGGGGTCCCCTTATCGCTAATCGTCATGGGGCGCGCGCGCTGAGGCTCGCCGGGCGGGGCTAAGACCGGGACATGTCGTTCCAGAGTGTGCCGGGATGCTTCCAGGGTGTTCCGGGGAGCCTCTGTGCGGAGCGGCCGCGGCGCCTGGCACACCCGCCAGAAAGCCGCGGGATATCTCAGTGATATCCCCGCGATTCGTCTCGGCCCGATCTGTCTGGGTATTGGCCTCGCCTTCGCTCGGGAAGCGGGCTCTGCGCTCACTCTGGCGCTGTCGCCCCGTCGGGTGCTTCGCCCCCTGGCCCTCCTGCTGGTTCTCGTCCTTCCTGCCCGCTCGGGAGACAGGTTTTGCAATCACTCTGGCGCTGCCGCCACGTTTGGTGCTTCCCCCCTTGGCCCTCCTGCCGGTGCTCGTCCTGCCTGCCTCGGGCGGGCTGCGCATGGCAAAGGACAGCCTCAAGCGGATCGCCGAGTGGCAGGAACACCTTGTGCGCACCGAACAGCTGGCCACGAGCGGGGTGTGGGCCTGTCGTTGACGTCGCCGTCCACCTCCACCGCCACCTCCTCCTCCTCCTCCTCCTCCTCCTCTTCCTCCTCCTCCTCTCCTCCTCCTCCTCCTCCTCCTCCTCCCCATCCTCCTCCTCCTCCTCCTCCTCCTCCTCCTCCTTCTCCTTCTCCTTCTCCTCCTCCTCCTCCTCCTCCTCCTCCTCCTCCTCCTCCTCCTCCTCCTCCTCCCCCGCCCCTGCATCGCCGACCAGGCTTAATCATAGGATTGCGATGAGGGTGAGCGCGGAAGGCATCAGGAACCGAGAGGGGGCAGGACGAACAGGAAAAGAGGAGGGAGGGCTGGCGACGTACAACTTTATTATAACGAGCATGAAGAGGATGAAGAGCAGCAGCAGCAGAAAGAGGACGACCGCCGCGGACTGAGGATGCGAAGGATAATGATTGGCGAGGAATGAGGACAAGGATGAGAAGCAGCAACAAACGCAGTAATTAGCAACAACTGTTGTGTGGGAGTGATTTGCAGAGGTTGCGCATTGCGAGTCTCAAGCAGCAGCTGCAGATCCAGGAGCATGAGCAGTAATTGCAGCATGTTCTTAGCTGGAGCATGAGCAGTATGCCCTGTACTCAGGAACAGGCGCAGGTGTACGAGTAAGATACGTGGCATGAGCAGGAGGATGATCACAAGAGGCATGGCCTGGAAAATGATGTTGAAGGCGAAATGAAGGACGAGATCGGGAGGAAAACAAAGAGGAAGAGGAGGATACCGACGGCCAGGACAATGGAGATGATGACGATGCTGATGAATGATGATGATGATGATGATGATGATGATGATGATGATGATGATGATGATGATGATGATGATGATGATGATGGTGATGATGATGCTGATGCTGATGCTGATGCTGATGCTGATGATGCTGATGATGCTGATGCTGATGCTGATGCTGATGATGATGATGATGATGATGATGGTGATGGTGATGATGATGATGATGATGATGATGATGATCATCATCATCATCATCATCATCATCATCATCATCATTATCATCATCATCATCATCATCATCATCATCATCATCATCATCATCATCATCGTTTCTCCCTGTCTTTTTCAGTGCCCCCTTGGCGCAGGGCCCGATACGACTAGCTGCGGCCTCCCGCTGCGGCCATGCATGCCTGCGCAAGCGCACGGCCCGATGCGCTGACCCTTCGGGCAGGCATCCGCGTGCTTACCCCGCATCTGGGGCGGGGCCCAGCCACCGTCCTGGCGCATCAGCACCAGGGGTGGCTGGGTCTCGTCGTCCTTGTGTTGGTGGTCGATTTTTCTGGGGGCGCTGATCGTATGCCATTTTTGTTTAAGTTTTGATTTTTCCGCTGGCGCGAAAAAGGAGATCGTGGGCCAAACGAGCCTCTCCTCAGGCGGATGGCCGCAACGTCGGGCTCCAGCTGCCTTGTGTCAACCTGGGCGGAGGCTTGGGTTATGGGCACCTGTCGAACATGAGGAGGATGCTGATCCTGATGATGATTCTGATGGTGATGGTGATGGTGATGATGGTGAAGGTGACGGTGATGGTGATGGTGATGATGACGGCGTTTGCGATAATGCTGGCGGTGATGATGGTACTGATGTGGTGGCTGATGACGGTTATGATTATGATGATGATGTTGCAGTCGCGGGGGTTTACGACGATGACAACGGTGGTGATGATAATGATGATAATGATGACGATGCTGACGATGCTGGTGGTGGTGATGATGGTGATGGTGATGATGCTTCTGATGACGATGGTGGTGATGATGAGGATGGTGCTGATGGGGATCATGATGATGGTGGTGGTGGTTTTGGTGATGGTGATGTGTTGGCACTGGTGATGATGGTGATGGAGGTGATGCTGATGATGTCCAGGATCATGATCGTGACGTTCGTGACAATGATGATGACCATGATGATATGTGCTCGATGCGCGAACCATGCTGTGATAAGCGCTGGCCGCGCGGGCGCAGCCTGCGACGTGCACATAATTCAGCATGGGCCCGCGACGTGATTCGGCGAGGCGCGGTCGTGCCACAGGAAGCCTTCAAAGAGGGAGCGGAGGGAGTAGCGAAGAGGGCGAACCGTGATCGTCCCCATCGCTGCTGTCTGGCAGGACAACGAGGTCTCCAAACTTGGCATCCCTTGCCAGCACCCCGAAAAGCTGAGGCCTGGAGCAGCCTAGGGCGGCACCCGCCCGCGGATCAAATGCCTTCCATACACAGTTCAAGCGGAAGGCTGCGGCGCTCTGTCGGACCACGCCCCCTTGACATGGCCTGGCCTGATGGGAGCCGCAGGCCGAGCAAAAAAGATATGGTACCACTGACCAAAGTCTGTACCGGCGGCCTTCCACGGTGCAGCGAGGGGGGAGGCTGGAAGGGACGAGGGCGCTGCGCAGGCACCGAATGCATCGCAGGCGCCCCTGCACACGGACAAAGTCGTGGCGGCCGTCAGGCACTGGGTGATCGGCCGAAAGCGCTGGGCCGCGGCGACCGCCTACCACGCTGGCGTGCTCCTGCCGCGGAAAGGGCCAAGCCTTCAGAAAGCGGCCGAGGTACCTGCCTACTGTCGTGACGAGCTGGCGAGCGCCCACCACCCTACGCTTAGCCTCCACATCTTTCGGGTGCAAGGCCGCACCACGCCGGGCCGCTGTGTCCGTCTCCGCATTTCCAATGCGGAGCTGTCGGGTGTCGTCGGCCACAGTGTCGTCGGCCACTCTGGCATGCCCTTTGACATTGCAACCCCGAAGCTCGAACTCGAAGTCTTCAGGGGCATCCCAAGTCGCAGTCCAAGGATCGGCACCTGCGCGCGTAGTCTCCCAACGCCTTTTGGCGAAGAAGGTGACCGTCCACAGGCGGTCGGAAAAAAAACAAGAATCGCGCCCGCTCTCCGAAAACGAAGGCAGGCGAACAACGCCCGTCCGAGATCTCGGAGTCCTGTACGAGGACGGGAGCTGGGCGGCGGGCAGCGCACGTGAGGCTGCCTGCGGGGTCCACCTGCGCCAGCCCCCACTCCGCCCGTCGTAGCAGAGGATCGCCCCGAACGGCGGAAGACACTGACCCATCTCCAAACGTCGCCCTCCAGCCGGCCTCCGAAGAGCTGCACGAACCATCGGATCGAAAATTGGAGTGCAGGCGGAGCCAAACACTTGCGTGGACCAGGCAGCAGCGCGTGCCGCCACAAGCTCCACTCCGGGTGTTGCCGCGCGGCCTGACAGACACGGTCGGGAAGGTCGTAATCCCGGCGCCAAACCTGCGTGGCAGGGCAATCCAGCCCCGATGGGTGCTGGCGGGACCCCACGTCAGCGTCGCAGTGCGGGCACTCCGGGGAGGCCAGCATGCCGGCCGCATGTCGCCGCTCCGCGTCCCAGATGCCGTTGCCGACAACCGCTCGCACCAGACCCTGGCGTCGGCCATCCCAGTCCGCAGTCTGATGCCCCGTAGACGAGGTGCGCAGCGGCTCCAAATAGGGTTCATGTGAGAGGTCGTCGGGTGCCGCTTCATGGCACGCTGCATGAGCCACCGCTCCATGCACCTGCGCGCGAGGACGACGACCGCCTTGGGGCAGAGCTCGGACAAGTCCACCCGATGCCCGTCGTCGGTGCGGACCGTGCACGACCTGTTGGTGACCGTCCACCCGATGCGCCTTGCCGAGGCCACCGCCGCGCCCACGGGGCCCTTGACCACTAGCCAATCTTTCTCGTGCGCACTCTCCGAGAACGCCACATCCGCTGTGTAGATCAGCTGGGTGAGCCACGCGAGCGGAAAGCCAGGCGTCCCAGACGGCCCGCCCCAGGTGGTGCCGTTGCAACAGGTCGCGCAAGGGGTGGCACGCCTCCGCCAGCGCCCGGGCGAGAGCGAGCGTCGTCCCCGCCGCCTGAAGCTGAATGTCTTCAATCACGTAATCACGTTGATGACTTCAACGCCCGCGCCCTGCGTCCGCGCGATCACCTGGTCGATCAGAGGGGCCAAGTACAGCCGCATGAGCAGATCCGCGAAGCTGCACCCCGCGACCGCGCCCTGCAGCGGAAGACGTTCCCCGAGAACGACACCATCGTGGCTCTGGTACCGCGGCATCCCGTACAGCGGAAAGAGCAGCCGCAACAGTCCGAGCGGAAAGCGCAGTTGGCGGGCATGCTCCACGAGCGTGCCCCAGCCGCTCGTACGCCTTGCTGATGTCCAACAGCACAGCGCACGCACACGACCCCCGAGCGACGGCCCATTCAGCCACCGCTCCAGTGACCCACACGGCCATGTCGCACGCCTTCTGTTCCACCCCGTACACGTAGGAGCGGGCCTGATTCGAAGCCCAGCGAGCCCCGAAGGTGCGGCGGCACCACCTCATGAACGGCCGTGACGACCCCGGGAACAGGCCGATCGCGCGCTTGCCGCGCGACTCTTTGGGCAACAGTACTTCCTGGGGGAGGCGAAGGGGAGCCGGCATCCGTGCCCAGGCACCATGAGTGTGGATGAGGGCGTGCACCGCGGCGGACGGCAGCATAATTAGCGAGGTGCCACAGGTGCACCGCGTCTGCCCCCAAAGATGGTGGCATGCCGAGAGGTCCTGGCGGTCGTGGCAGTTTCCTCCACCATGGGGAGTGGCACGCAGTCAGACTCGCCAGACCCTGACGACCACCGATCATGCCAAGGCTGGGTCTTGGCCCGCGCCTCCTCCGCCAGCCCTTTGCCAGATAGGGTTGAGGCCGCTCACGGAGCCACATCCCTGATCCAGCGGAAGGCCGGACTTGCCCCCTGAGCGTCCGTCGCCGAGCGGGTCCAGTCGAGCCAGCCCTCGAGCCTCGCGTAGGCCGACGCGGGGTCGCCGCGCGAGGCCTCCGCCGCAAGCTGCCCGGCGAGGTCGTCGAGCTCGGCGTCCGTGTGGTCCCGCGGACGGCGCACTCGCGCGCGCCGCGTGGCCCAGAAGTCTGGCGGCGCATTCATTGGCAGTGCGAACCGCCGCATGGCCGCGTGGAGGGCACGCGCATGGCGGCGGGAGGTAGTTAGGCGCGTCGAGTTTGCGGAGGTGCCGCCACTCCAGCACGTGGTCACGCAGCCAGCCCCAGTAGCTGTCGCAGGCCGTTGGCTTCGCAATGTGGTGCCACGCGCGGCGCGCCTGCGCCACTGGCACCTGGACCACGCGGGGGCCAGCAGCACGGCCCTCGAACCTGGCGCGCTCGCCGTGGAGGCCAAAGTGGCGCGTGAGCTCGCCCTCGTACTCGCGGAGCCAGCCGCAGCATGCTTCGCTCAAGTCGTCCACAGATGTGGCGGCCTCAGCCGCCGCCTCCTCCGTCGCCCAATCCAGCGGCTCCAGGCTGGGGCCAATGGGGGGCTGGGAAGGGTGCGCCTTGGGTTTCCGCAGGACAGAGACCCGCTCGAACACAGCGGCATAATTAGTGGAACGCCAGGCGCGCCGCCCGATGCGGCCCGACCATGATCTCGTCGACCACCGTGGCGGACACTGCCGAGATGCCTGCGGACGTGACGAAGAAATCGATTTCACTGCCCCCGGAGGCCCCCGAGCAGGCGTGCCGGCCAGCCGCCACCACAGCGCCGCGCACGGCCGAGAGCCACTGAGTCTGTTCAAAGCAGGATAGCTCGAATCGGAGGTCGCCCGCAAGAATGCAGGGCCTTCCCAAGGCCCGCACGGCGCCCCCCGCATTGGAGAGGTGCGCGAAGTTGTCTGAGCCCATGCCGCCGCTCGTGTGCAAGTACAGCGATCCAAGCACGAAGCCTCCCGGCGGACCGGCAGCCACCATCCAGAAGGCCGCGCGCTCGTTGAATGGGGTGGCGACCCACTCATCCAGCACGGCCCGTCGCAAGCCGATCCACGTTTTGACGAGGATCGCCACGCCCCTGCAAGTGCGCGGCCGTCCGCCGAGGAGGCGCGGAATCCAGCTTCCAGCCGCGTCGCCAGGCCGCCCGCCTGGCGATGATGATGTTGGGCTCGACAAGGTGGTGCTCCTGGACTGCCACCACGTCGGCGTCCCCACGGCGCCGCGCTCGAGTTCGCGCAGCAGCGAGCCCCAGCCCGTGACGTTCACCATGACAGCCGCGCAGAAGTCCGACGAGTGCCGCTGCCCGCGGCGCGTGCCGACCTCGCCGTGCCGAGGCAGGTGGTCGTGGAGGCGCAGCACGCGCGGCCCCGAATCGTCCTCGGCCACCGCAGCAGGCGGCCGCACTGCGGCGGCCGCCACGCCGCACGCCCGCAGCTGATCTCCGTCGCCAGCCGCCCGTGGTGACCAGGGCGGCTGGCCGAGGTCTCGGTGCTGGCCGAGATCTCGGTGGTGCCCGAGGCCGTCGCGGCCCGTGGAGAAGACGCATCCAGGCCTCCGGCCCCTGAGTGCGCGGGCCGTCACGAGCTCGGGCAGCCCCTCCGCCGCATCCGAGTGGGCCTGCAGGGGCAGCCGCGCGCGGGCTGCCAGGGGCCGCGACCGCGGGCTCACATGGGAGAGAAGTCGTGGTTCGAGTCGTTGTCTTTGCCCTTGCCCTTGCACGTAACCGATGCCGCCGGCATCGCGGCCGCCTGAAGGGCGGCCCCGGCCACCAGGCTGCGTCGCAGCCAACCAGGGACTGGCAAGCCCTGGGCGACGAGCTCGCTAGCAAAGGTCTCCCGCTCCGCATGCGACAGGCCGCGGGCGCAGCGTCGTCGCCAGCCTCTGGCCCACCGCCGCCAGCCTCCTCAGCAGCGGCCTCAGAAGTGCCTCCAGAGACCACCTCGGAGTCTATGGCGCCTTCTCGCGCGCGGTGCTCCTCCTCGTGCAGCGACTGCAGGAAGCTGGAAATATTGTGCATCTCGGCGTTGCCCTCCAAGTGCGAGCTGGGGCGCCTGCATGGTCTCGGCGATCGCCTTGACCCGCGGCGGCGGCTGGTCCCAGCGTGAAGTCGCGGGCTGGCTGGCCGCCTGCAGCGCCGCCGAATACGCCGCGGTGACCTCCAGCGCCAGCCAGCTGGCCAGGAGGCGGTCGTCGGCCTCTTGCACTCGCCGCTGGGCCTCCTGGACCTTCTCGGCCGCTGCCACCCGCGCAACCTCTGCCCGCTCGAAGGTCTTGCGCCGGCCTCCCTGCCGCCAGAGCGCGCGCTGCAGCTCGGACTGCGGCGTGGGCACCGGCTTGGTGGGCTCGGCGGCCGGGGGGGCTGCGGCAGCCTGGCCTGCCGCTCAGTCGCGAGCTCGGTGCCGAAGGCGCGCAAGCGCTCGAGGAACTCCGCGTCGTCGCCGGCGGGGCCCGAGGCGTCGGCACCGGAGGCGAGTTTGGTCGCCCCGCCACCCGCAGAGGCCGCGCCCCTGCCGCCGCCATCCCCCCGTGCCGCGGACATCCCATGACGAGTTCGTGTGCCTGGCGGCACCTCGGCGCGGGCGGCGCGCTCGGCCTCCAGGGCGCGCTGCCGCACAGCCGCAGGAGCAGCGCGGCCGCAACCACGGCAGTGGCTGCGACAAGCCCAAGTGGTTGCCTCCCCGCAAACTCAGCCCCAGAAGGGCTTGCGCGGGCCGATGGGCGTAGCCTCAGCCGCGGCTGCGTGCCAGGGCGGGGTGGTCCCAGGCAGCCGTTGGCCGCCGCTGCCGCCGCCGCTGCAGCCGCCCGCTCGTCCTCTGCTGCTCCAGCCCGGCGGCTGCCCGCGTTGGCGACAATCCGGCATGGCTGGCGCAGGTACCTCGTAATTGTGCGTGAGCCCGCGGGCCCAGAAAGCGGATTCAAGATGATCAAGGTTCAAGATGGAGGATGAGGACTTGCAGAGGGATATGGAGGACGACGGCCATCACCAGCAGCAGGATGAGCAGGGAGATCAGCAGCAGGAGTGGCGGGAGGACCAGCAGCTGAAGGAGGAGCGGCAGGAGCGGGACGGGAGGAGGAGGAGGAGCAGCAGCAGGATGACGAATGGGAGCGGGGCGGACGGGGAGCAGAGAGGAAGGTCGGTCAGCGGATGGTGAGGAGGTGGAGGAGCAGGAGGAGGATCGGGAGGGAGGTGGAGAGGGGGTGTGGAGCATGAGGATGGGGATTGGGAGAGGGAGAGGATATGATTCACTAAAGGGTCAACGGCGGACGTCATCAGCTACAACGCTGGGCTAAGAGCGTGCAAGAATAGATCACAGTGGTAAGAGGCCCTGCCGCTGCCCCGCAGGATGCCGAGGCTTGATCTCAATTTCATCAGCTGGACCAAACGGGCCGTCGGGGCCAAGGCTACCCCTGGAGACTCCCAGGCCGCCCCGAGAGTGCCGTCAGACAGTTACAGAGACGGGCTCCAGAGACCCCAGCCAGCTGCCGCAGAGGCTTGCCAAGACGGCCCGCGACTCCTCCGAAAAGGAGTGTCTCAAGACGCCCCCTCCCGGGCTTCTATCTACCCCCTTCCCCATCGCCAGAGGGGTGCGGAGGGGCAGGCGGGGGGCTCGGGGATCGGGGGTGGGGGATGGGCGGGGGGAGTCCCTCCGATGTCGCATCGTGGGCCGTGCTTTTTTCGTGGCTCGGGGAGGGGTGGGGGAGGTCCCCCCCTGGTTTCGGAGGACCCCCCTGTCCTCCCTATCCTCCTCCTCCTCCTCCTCCTCCTTCTCCTCCTCCTCGTTCTCCTCCTCCGTAGCCATGTTGGCTCAAGTTTTTTGTTTTGGCGGGCTGAGCCCGCATTGGCTTTCACGGATACCGCTAGTCCGCGGCAGAGCTGGGACTGTTCAGTCCGACATCTTTCCTCCCTGGTGGCAGCGCCCCGCTGCCAGGGTCTCCCTCCTTCCCCAGTGTTGTCCCATGGCCCCAGGCGATGGTGGGGCAAAGTGTACGGCGTGTGGCGCTATCAAGTGCAACAAACCGTGGTACAAATGGTGTGCGAACTGTTGGGCTCCAATTCGTCAAGTGTCTCCTGTTGACCCTATTGCTGCTCGTCTGCCTGGTGGTCAATGGCAGCACGGTCCGCCCAAGGCTGACAGTTGGGACAAGAAGGGGGCCAAGGGCAAGAAGGGTGGTGGGAAAGGGGGGGGTGAGGGTGGCAAAGGAGGTGCCCTCGCGCCGCCCCGTGCTCCCGCAGCCATGCTTGCCCAGATGGCCCTGCTCATGGAACAGTTCAAAGAAGAATTCCCAGAGCGTGACGCGCTCGAAGCAACTATCCAGAAGACGGCTACGTGTGTCAAGTCATCGGCCGAGTCGGTCAAGGACTCGCTCCCTTTGTTGCAGCAGCATCGTGACGTTCATTCGCTTTCCAAGAATGAGAAGTTCGTGGCTTCAGTGGACAAGCAGATTGCCGAGTGCCAGGACAAGCTCTCCAGGCTCCAGGAGCAGAAGGCCGAGGCGGAGGTGCAGCAGGTCCAGATTCGTGCTCGGTACAAAGATCTTGCCGCCGAAGTCCGCCTCCTCGCTGCTGACGATCCTGCCAGAGACCTGTCCGACCAGATGGCGACCTTCAGCGTCGTCCTCGAGAGTGGCGACCTGGGTTCCATACGTGAGGCCTGGGCAAAGCTCAAGCCAGCCTGTGAGACTTTTGCCGCGCCTGTTTCCGCTGAGCCTGCTTCTAATGTGGGCGGGGGTGGGGAGGGTGGGGAGTCTGAGTCTGCAGATGTTGAGATGCCTCAGGTCTCGTCTGAGGACGAGTCAGCGCTCCAGGCTTTCATTCGTGGAGAGGAGATTTCCGAGGAAGCCAGGAAAAGAGTCGCGGACTACCTCCAATCCGCGACCAAACGTATCAAGTCGGGGGAGGGTGAGGCAGCGGCAGCCGCTGCAGGAGCTGGGGGTTCGCCTGCTGAGGGTGGCGGAGCGAGTGCTCCTGGCACTTCTCCGGCTCCAGCTCCTGCCGTTGGCACCGCCGCCCGCCAGAAGCCTCCTTCCTGACATGCAGCAGAGTGCGGCGCTCTTGCTGCATCGTTCGGGGGGGAGGCCCCTCTTTTAAGCCAGGATCTTCTCTCCAGTTCTGAGGGTGCGGGAGCGCACCCCCCGCCTGCGCCACCAGTGCAGGATTTCTCGCTTGTTGTCCAAACGTGCAATATCACTGGCTGGCTTCCTTTGAAGCACAAGTGGCTCAGCAGAGTCAAGGCTCACGTTCTTTTGGTTCAGGAGCATCACCTCATCGAGGAGGAAGATATTGCTTCAGCTTCCCAGTGGCTCTTTCGGCGTGGATGGAAATCCTGTTGGGCGCCTGCAGCTCCTGGGCCTGGGGGTGGCACGTCGGGGGGCATCGCCGCCCTCGTCCGCTCCTACCTGGGCATGCACGCGCTCTCTTCGGGGTTCGTCATCGCCCCTCATCGTGCAGGCGCAGCGGTTGTGGTCGTTCCAGGGGGGCTTCGTATCCTAGTGGCGCCCGTGTACCTTCACGACGTGGAGGGTCTTTCTGAGCGCAATGTCGAGCTGCTGGCACAGGTTGGAGCCAGTGTTTCTCACACGGACCTTCCCGCTATCATAGGTGGGGACTTCAACATGACCCCAGAGGACATCAGCCGCCGTATGTTCGTTCAAGAGTTCAAAGGCCAGCTTATCATCCCCACCGACGGTTGCTATACCCTTCGGAGCCAGGGAGGCCTCACAGTCTTTGACTACTTCGTCGTGTCGTCGGGCATCAGCAAGGTCGTTAAACAGGTGACTGTCAATAACAACTCCCCCCTGTCCCCACACAATCCTGTGGATCTGGAGTTGTTGCCCAACCCCGCCCAGATGCAAGTTTTGGAATTTCGCAAGCCCTCTCCTCTTCCCAAACAGCAAGCCATTGGGCCCACCCGTGAACCCCCTTCTTGGGATGCGGTTCTTGGTTTTCTGGAGGACACGGTGGATGTCGCTCGGAAGGGTAAAGGGGTTGAAACTCAACGTAGGTTAGATTTGGCTTACAAGCTCTGGGCCAATATGGCTGAATGTGAAGTGGCCGAGGCCACGCAGACCTCTCTGCCCTTCTGGGGTGCGAGAGGCAAGTCGCCGCAGCTTGTCTGGCAACCTGTTTTTGGTCGTGACAAGGACGAGCATCGCCATCCTGCCCTCTATGCTGCGCGCTGGGTTTACAATCGGGTCCTGGACTGCAGGGTCTTCATCGGGTCTCAGGGGGCCTGGTCGGACGATCTTTCCCCTCCCAACCTGTGTGCCCTCAAACGTCTGGTCCTGTCCCCCCCCAGTTTGTGCTTGATCACTTAGGGCACAACAGATGCTACCTCGACACTCTGCAGTCCCTGGTCTCAGGTCTTACCGCTTTCAATTACAAGGGCAGCGCTGATCATGCCAGTCTCCTGGCGGTGCAGGTCTCAGGTGAGGTTGCCACAACCGAGGCTACAGCTAGGACCAGCAGCTTAGCTTCCTGGCGTAGCTGGCTTAGGGAGAACATTGAACAGGGAGCTAAGCGTGCGCACATGGTCACGGCTGAGCCCCAGCCGTGGAAGCCGACTTCTACTCTGTCAGCTCATGGTTGCGTGGTCAGCGACCCGCTCTCGCTGCTCGCCGCGGAGAGGAGCAAGTTTTCTGTTTTATGGAGAGCGACCTCCGCTCCACCATCTACTGGGCAGGTGAAGGATTTCCAACCAGCTCCCGACCTTCCTCCTATAGATCCCCAGGAGATCATCAATCTCTCTCGCAGGTACAAGGCGAGCTCTGCGGTTGGGATTGATGGGTTCCACATCAGACACTTCAGTATGATTTCGGGTCCTGGGGTCTCGGCGTTGTGTTTGATCCTCCAGGTTATGGAAATCACTTGTATGTTGCGAGAAGGGGGTTGGCGGAAAAGTGGGAAGGAGAGCATGCTCGGCCCTACTTTGCCGCTGGTAAGTTTCAAGGGGCTGCCGACGTTGTGTGGCGCCAAAGTGTCAAGAGTGAAAGTGGAGCCTCCAGGAAGGAGCATGCGGCCACTCTCCTCTGGGACATGTACAAATACTATGAGTTGATCGACCTTGATCGACTGCTGGCGCGGTGTTTAAGGTTGAACTTCCCCGTAGCCATGGCCAGATTGGCTGTTAGGGCTTATCGGGCCCTTCGTTTCCTGCCCCTCGGAGGGTGTTTGGACGGTCCTTGGTTTGTCTCCTCGGGGATTGTGGCGGGATGTTCCATCGCCACTACCCTCATCAGGGTGAACAGCATTGAAGCCCTGGATAGGATCGTTCTCCGCCCCTGCTGCGACTTGGCCCTGTACATTGATGATTCGGGGTTATCGGCTGTTGGTGCCCTCTGTGAGGTGGTTAGTGCTATTGTGGGGGGAGCCCCGCAGCTCCACGAGGCTATCGTCGAAGGGATAGGGGGGAAGGTTGCGCAGGAAAAGTCTAGTCTTGTTTGTTCTTCTGCGGCCGTGGGCCGTGCCATTCAGGCTGCTCTTGGAGCTAAGTTTACGGGTCCCATCGCTGACAGTTCTGTCAACTTGGGCATTGATGACACGGGGGGGACGAGCTTGAGGATTAAGGGGAGGGGAGTGAAACTCAAGTCTCGACTTCGGCTCTTTAAGAAGCGCGCCCGCCGTGTTGGCAAACTTCGCTCTGCCCTAGGATCTCGACGCACTCTGAGGGTCTTCACGGCAGGACCTCTCCCAGGTGTGCTCTACGGCAGCGAGGTGCGCGGGGTCACGGATCACGAGCTCCCCCACCTGCGCCGCTCGGCGGCGAGCACCATCAAACCCTCGGCAGGCCAACGCCCCCTGACGGTCTTGTCTCATCTGGAAGGGGACCCTGCTTGGATCGGTTCTGTTGCCCCGATTTTGCGATGGCACAAGGAAGTTTGGTGTGCCCAAGTTCGGGCCTTTGAAGGTTCGCTTAGTTTCAGGGAGCTGAGGCTGGTTTGGGAAGGTGTTTTTCTTTGAGAATCTTGCCCATGGCGTGCTGTTGGAGGCCCCGCCGCCGCCATGCGCAAGTCCCTGGAGAGGATCTCCTGGACGATGAGGGACTTCGCCACCTTTGTTACGGACCAAGGGGTGATCCTCTCCCTGACCCTCATCTCTCCCCAGCTCATGCGCTTCCACCTTCGGGCTGCTGTTTTTTTTTTCCGAGGATTGGAGTGGGATGCTGGGGCTAAATGTGATGTTCCTCATCGTCTGTGCTTCGACGTGGTTAAACATTGTCTGCGTAGCAAAAAGTTCTCGACCTTCGAGAAGGGCTGCATCAGGGCTGCTGCCACTAACGCTGCGTGGACTCGTCAAAAAGCCAGGGACCTTGGGTGCGATGTCAGCGTTATGTGCGACAAGTGTGGAACCGCCCCCGACACCCTCCACCACCGCTTGTGGGTCTGCAGGTGCCCAGAAGTCCAGGAGCTTCGTGAGGGCCTCGTGGAGCCAGGAGTCATACAGAGAGCCTTGCAGGAGCCTGACAGTGTGCTTTCGCGTTTCGGTTCCTTTGCGCATCCTGGAGACTATTTTCCCAAGCCCTCGGGGGAGCCCTCTGGCACATTCTTTGCTCCTGAAGGGCTCCCCCAGGACCCCCAGAGTTTTGATTTCAACGGGCGCGTTTTCACTGACGGGAGTGCCTTAAAGCATGTGGTGCGTGAGCTTTCACGTGCTGGATGGTGCTTCGCAGTGGTTGACCTGTCGGGCGACTTGCGGGCCATGATGCATGGCCCCGTGCCGCCGTCGTACCCGCAGACAGCTCCTGCAGGAGAATTCACCGCCTTCTGCCAAGCAGTCCTTTTCTAATGCTCCGTCGGATTTTTACACTGACGCGCCGCTGGTCAAGGATCACTTTGCTTTGCAAGCCGAGGATCAGCTGTCGCCGAAACGTTGCTACAGTGGTTTCTCGTTGTCTCTTTCGCATGAAATGTGGAAGGTAAACGCCCTCCACAAAGTCAAAGCGCATCAGTCTCTCGATGAATGGACCTCCGAATTCGATAAGATGTGCCGGTTTGGGAATCATTATGCAGATGTCGGTGCTAAAAAGGCTTCTGGCGGCGAAGGGTACCTTGGTCACCCGCAGCCTTCTGCGGAGGACCGAGATAGGTTGGATCCCGACATCAAATTGTCTCGTGCTGTGTGTCAGCTAGCGGCGAAAGTGCTTCCTAGTTGGCCGCGCCTTGACCTCAGTGAAGCTTCCTGGACTAAGCCGTCGGTCTTTTGCTGTGAATTCGCCGTCTACCAGGTGCCAGTGGACGATTATTCAGAATGTGCAGTTGGCTTCTTCCCCAGGATTTTGGAAATGCACGGCCTGCGGCAGAGTCAGTCGATCTCCCACCGACGGCCCGCCCCCGTGTGCTCCTCTGTGTCAGCCGATCTCGGGGCTTGAAGCTGGTGCGCTTGAGAAAAGGGGCCACTCTTGTATTACGTTGTCGTGCTCTGACCAGGCCTCGTTGGTTGTGTGCACGAAGTGCTTCTGCTACTCTTCTCATGGCAGAGTGGCTGGGCTTGGTGGAAGGTGCGTGGGTCCGACCAGGTCTACTTTTTACAATAATTGGGGGCCCATCCGCAGAGGACGGCACCCCAAGCGCCCAGAGGTCACAGTGGAGCGTGGCCCCTGGGGAAGGCACTCTTTTGGTTTTGTCCTAGACGCGGAGGAGGAGGAGGTCCCTGCCCCGTTGTCTGAGCCTCCCCCCACCTCGGCCTCGGAGGAGGAGGAAGCGCGTGAGAGACGCCGTGCGGCCATCGCACGACGTCTCCTGGCTGCGGCGAGTGGTCCACCGCGGGACCCGCCGTCTCTGTCTCAGGCCACTGGCCACGTGTCGCAGGAGGCCTCGCCCGCTCTTCTGGAGTTGAAGGCGAAGGCCTTTTTCGTCTCGAAGCTGCCGCATCGGGATGAGGGCGACTCCAGTTCTGACTAACGCCTGGGGGAGAAGCGGTTGGCCACGGGGAGTCCTCCAGCCAGCTGGAGATGTCCATGTGGCTTTCCGCCTTTCCTCTCTTTGCAGGTGTTAGAAATTTGCTGGCTCTGGCCAGCCTGCCTGCCCTAATTGTCTGGGCGGGCTCTCACCTTGGATGTTGATGTCAAAAAATCCTCGTTCTCCTCCTTCTCCTCCTCCTCCTTTCCTCCTCCTCCTCCTTCTCCTCCTTCTCCTCCTCCTCCTCCTCCTCCTCCTCCTCCTCCTCTGGGTTCGATGCTCAGCCAAACGCTTTTGAGACCCGGGTCACCTGTCGCGGGGGCGCTTCGCGCGCCGCTGTCCGTGCCAGAGCGGCTGCCCTTCTCCACGGGGGCAGCGCGAGAGCGCGAGGGCGCGAGAGCTAGTCGCGCGCCGCGGGGCGCGATGCGCGAGGGCAGGTGACCTGCATTCCTCCGTGGAAAGATCACGCAACCTTATCAGGTCGTGTCGAGAAACCGTCCGGGGGACTGTCCTTGGGGGTCAGTCTTCACGCAGGGGCACCGTTTTTGATGGCTCCGGGGCCCGACGGCCCCCAGGGGCCAACACATCAGAAAAACCGAAGACGACGAGCCAGACCAATCGACGATGGAGTTGCATGCCTTCCTTTTCGTGGGAAACACGCTCCCTCGGAGGGGGAGGAGGAGGAGGAGCAGGAGGAGGAGGAGCGGGCGCAGGACATAGCACGAGGCCTCTCCGAGTCTCGGTGGTCGTGCGCCCTGCCTGCACGAAGCGGGGGGCTGGCCAGGAGGGGGGCGCGCGCTGCTGTGGCGGGGAGGCAGAGCTGACCGTGCAGCAGAACGAGTGCATCGCCAGGCTGGAGGCGGACAACGAGGAGATGAAGAGGAGGGGACGGGCGGGAGGGAGTTCCACCTCCTCCTCCTCCTCCTCCTCCTCCTCCTCCTCCTCCTCCTCCTCCTCCTCCTCCTCCTCCTCCTCCTCTCTTGCGCAGGCTCCGAGGCGATTCGCCAGAAGCGTCAGCCTCCATCCGTCTTCCTTCTGAGTAACTCCTCCCAGTCGCACCCCCGGGCTAGGGCGGGCCAGGCGTGTCGCCTGAGACTCCCTCTCCACCCATGATCCTGAAGCAGGGCTGGACCTAAACGGTGTTTTGGACGATTTCGTGGGCCGTTTTTTCGTTTCGACGTCGTTTTGCGGTAAGGGTGTATTCGAGACAAAAGCGAGAGAAAGCGAAAACAAACGAAAACGAACAACACCGTTTAGGTTCAGCCCTGTCCTGAAGCTTGAGATTTGCAACAGGGCGGGTGGTCTTCAAACTGTGGCTCTCGCTGTAGCACCGACCACATTCGATTTTAAAGTTCGCAGCAGCTTCTCGGGGGGAGGGCGGGTGGTTTTCAAGATGTGGTTCTCGCCGGGCCGAAGCGCCGCGAACACTCGTTTCGAAAGTGTGTAACAAGTTCACGGATGGAGGGCGGGTGTTTCAAAATGTGGCTCTCGCTCCAGAGCCGCGAGCATTCGCTTTCAAAGTTCGCAGCCGCTTCAAGGACGGAGGGTATTACCTTTTGGAAATGCGGTTCCCGCTTCAGGACGTATGTTCTGGCACGTCGTCGGAATGTCAGGACGCAACAGTTCTGTGCATTCGTGGTGTGAAACCCAGGAACGCTGTTGTGGCACGTTTGAGGACTGTCAGACGGTTGTCTCCTAATGGGCCACATCCCGCAATACAAATCAAGTATTTTAGGGACCGGTTTATGACGAGGGAGCTAGGAGGGAGGTTGTATTGTATCATCGTTGGTGCGTGTTCGGTTTTCACCCGTCCTCGTCATCCTTATTTGTCTTCCTTCTCCTCCCTGCTTTTGACGTTGGCCATACATGAGCATCGTGACTACTGCGTTCCTCAACAATTCGAACACCAATGGGGACGGGCGCAAAACACATAAATCCCATGAGGATGAGTGCGAGAGCACGAAAGCGTGAAGTGCGGCAGCACTGCTGAACATAACGCGGAACAGACGAGACAAGTTGAATACGTAGAGCGAGGATAAGAGTAAGCGCAGTGTCAAGGATCAAGGACCTTACCCACCCTCCCCGCATCAAGACCTCCACCCACCCACCCAACATATCCTGACCATATCCGAGGGTAAGCTCCAGAGCCTATGATACGATGCTCTTGGAGAGAACATAACTGAAACGAAAATTAAATGCTGCAACTCCTGGGCTGCTCTGACGGCAGAGAGCCACAGAGAGCATTCATAATCGCACGCACCAACACATAGCAGAGTCACCCATCAATCAACTCATCCTCACGTCCTCCCTCCTCCTCCTTCTCCTCGTGAACTCCCTTCGGGGATCCTCCGTTAGCACCGGGACCGTACAGGGAAGGTGAGCGCAGCCTCTGCGAACAGGATGACACGCGCACAAGGCGAGAAGCGTGCGTGCGCTCCTCCTCCTCTTCCTCCTCCTCCTCCTCCTCATCTGTGCTTCAGGGGGTCCCCCGTCTCGCCCTGGCAGGGCGCGGCTCGGGACAACGGGCGAGGGCGGCGCCCGTCAGTGGCCCAGGGACCGGCTGGGTCGTCGAGGAATGTTTCCCCCAAAGCTCTCCTCGCTCCGTACCCGTCCGCTCATCGATCTTCTGTCCCATTCGTCGGTGATGGGCCCTAGGAGGCGCCGCGGGCTGGAGTCGACGAACCGAAAGCGGCCTAAACATGGTTTCTCTGAGGTCCGCGCAGGTTTCTTGGATCGGCGCTGGGCACCCTCTGGCGGCCCCTCTGGCGCCGCCCTACACGCGCCAGGGGGGGTAGACCAAGCACAGATCCAAGAAATCCGCGCGGACCTCAGAGAAATTGTTTTGATGCCGTCTTGTGCTGCTCTATGGAAGGGGGAGGGGAGGCAGCGATGAGTGTCGATGGCGGGGGGAAGGAAGGGCAGATTGAAAAGAGGGCGGAGGGGAGAGCAGAAAGGGGGACTGGGAGGCTGGGAGGTAAGAAGCAGGAGGACAGTTCAGATAACCAATGGTCTGTTGAAAACGATGGCTCTGCCTGCCCTCCAATCGGGGGGAGGCGATACGGGAAATGAAGACTGTGAGGTTTTGGCTTCCTCGGAGAATCAGGAGGACGAGGATGATAACGAGACCCTGCTGGGGTTTGCTTCGTATGTTAGCAGGCGGCCCCGACTCTCGTGGCCGTGTCTAGTCGGAGCTCGGGATCAGACCCGCACCTGACACCCCTCAGGGGCGTTCTGTAGGATCGCCCAGACCCCGCAACGGCCAGCCCGCGCCGACACGCCTGGCGGAGGCGCAGAAGCATGATGAGCAGCATCAGGAGGGCAGGGAGGCGGAGGGAGGCCAGGGCCAGGCAGACAGGCAGAGGGTGGACTGGAGGAGGAGAGAAGGACGCCGGCGACGAGCAGGAGCAGGACAGCGGGGGGAGGAGGAAGACATTGAGGAGGGGGTGGGAGGAGGAGGAGGAGGGGGAGGAGGAGGAGGAGGAGGAGGAGGAGGAGGAGGAGGAGGAGGAGGAGGAGGAGGAGGAGGAGGAGGAGGCGGAGGCGGAGGAGGAGGAGGAGGAGGAGGAGGAGGAGGAGAGAGGAGGAGGGGAGGAGGAGGAGGAGAGGAGGAGGAGAAGAAGAAGAAGAAGAAGGGGGGAGGAGGAAGGCGGAGGAGGAGAACTGGTGCTTAGGAGGAGGAGAACGAGGAAGAGGATGAGGAGGATGGGGAGGAGGAGGACATTGAGGAGAGGAGGGAGGAGGAGGGAGAGGAGGAGGAGGAGGAGGAGGGAGGAGGAGGAGGAGGTGGAGGTGGACATGGAGGAGGAGGAGGAGGAGGAGGAGAAGGAGGAGGAGGAGCAGGAGGAGGAGCAGGAGGAGAAAGAGTCATGGGACGTTGGAGGAGGAGGAGGAGGAGGAGGAGGAGGAGGAGGAGGACGGCGGCGACAGCGAGGCTAAGGAGGAGCCCGGCGGCTCGGCCGCCCCGTGCGCCGCACTCGTGCTGCGCCGTCCCCTGCCAGCGGCGCGCTCCTCTGGGTACTTGCTGTGCTGGGGCGCCCCGGCAGGGATGCCGCCGAGCTCTCTCTCTCTTTGGCACCGGGTTGGGGCGCAGGCTCTTCCGAGGAGAGGTGCGTGGTGCAAGTGGTTGGCTGAGGTGGAGGAAGAGGAGAAGAGGAGGAGGAGGATGAGGAGGAGGAGCAGGAGGAGGAGGAAGATGAGGATGAGGAGGAGGAGGAGGAGCAGGAGGAGGAGGAGGAGCAGGAGGAGAAGGAGGAGGAGGAGGAAAAGGAGGAGGAGCAGGAGGAGGAGCAGAAGGAGCAGGAGGAGGGGGGAGGGGGAGGGAGGAGGGGGAGGGGGAGGGACAAGCTAGGTGCGCTCGCGTCGTATCTGACATCCTACCCCTCCCTCCCATCCCTTACCATGGCGCAGATCCCCTCTCTACTCGCTCAGTCGGATGTCGAGCAGGGCAATGATCCCGAAAGGGTACGCGATGCATTGTAGAGCACGGCATGGCATGGCGTAGAAGAGCACCGCAACGCGTAGCATCAACCTAGAATTGCATTGCATGCCGTGGCATGGCACGGGAAATGACGCCAGCGCTGCAGCGGGAGCACGAGTCGAAACGAGCGGAAGCGCGGAAATGAGGCCAGCGCTGCAGCGGGAGCACGATTCGGAACGAGCGGAAGCACGAAAATGAGGCCAGCGATGCAGCGGGAGCACGATTCGGAACGAGCGGGGCCCGAAAATGAGGCCGGCGCCTCAGCGAGATCAGCATTTTGGAAACAAATGCAGGCGAAAACCCAACTCCGGGGAAACCTGTGTGTAAAAAACAGTACGCGGGGGGGGTCGGCCACTTTCAAACCGTCATCAGGGGAAGAGGGAGAGTAGTATTCATTTTGAGTAATTGTGGAGGAGGGGGGAGCAGGGGAGGAGGAGGAGGAGGAGGAGAAGGAGCAGGAGGAGAAGGAGGGGGAGGAGGAGGAGGAGGAGGAGGAGGAGGAGGAGGAGGAGGCATCAACTATTTTGGAATATACCCTCGCTCCAAGCTTCCTCATCATAGGCCCCTGCAACGGTTCATTCTTATTTAGGGGACTGCCTCGTTGGAAGACGACTGTTTGTGAAGACCCTGAAGCATGCCAAGACAGTTTTTTCGGGATTCCAACGCCTCGGATCAACCTGACTGTTGCCTCTTGACGGTCCTGAATCGTGCCAGAACGCCATTCCTGGGACTTGAACATCGCGAACCCATATAGCTTGTGCACCCTCATAAGCCTGAGCCCTTCCCAAACGCCATTTCTGATACGTTGACCATGGGAATATGTGAAAGTCTTGCAACATTTCAAGACGATTTTGCGCGGCGCTATCGCGAGAGCCACATTTTGAAAAGGAACTGCACTCAATCCGTGAAACTCTTGCATTTGTTTCAGACGAGTGTGCGCGGCGGGCGCCCAGGCGAGAGCCACATTTTGAAAAGGAGCCGTTCCCAACCGGGGAAGCCATTGCAACTCTTTAGCACGAATGTGCGCAGCGAAGGCGAGAGCCACAAAACTGACCCGCCTTAAATCCGTGAAGCTCTTGCAACATTTTAAGACGAATGTGCGCGGCGCTAAGGCGAGAGCCACACTTTGAAAACCAAGACGAATGCGCGCGGCACTCAGGCGAGAGCCACATTTTGAAAACCACCCGCCTTCCATCTGTGAAGCTGTTGACAATGCTTAAGCCTCAGAGTCATAAATGGTGAGGAAGTCTCGGGCGAAATGCCCGGCCCCGCTCTAAAGATTGGCTTCGGGGTGCGACAGGGAGAAGTTATTCATAAGGAGAAGGAATGGGGGAGGAGGAGGAGGAGGAGGAGGAGGAGGAGGAGGAGGAGGAGGAGGAGGAGGAGGACGAGGAGGAGGAGGAGGAGGAGGAGGAGGGAGGGGAGGCGGAGGGAGGGGCAGCCACAGAGCGACCTAAGGCTCACCGAGCCCCTTTCCGAACGCGTTCTTTGTTTCGGCGTCTTGGCTGTGCACCTGCTGCAGTGCCACGGCCTCCGAGAGTCCGACACCGAGGAGGTGCGCGAGCTCGGACGTGCAGCGGCCCGGGCGGCGACGCGCCTCGGGGACGGCCGACCCCTCGAGCATGACGCACTGTCGGGATCTTTTGAAAGTGCAGCGTGTCGCGCCGCGGGTTTGGGCCCACCGCGCTTCGGCGCGACACGCTAGCAATTTCTCAGCTCCCAAGCGGCAACCTCCCGCGCCTTTCCCAGCCTCCCGCCCCACGGAGCGGATCAGCACGATGTCCGCTTGCAGGGCATAGCGTGTCGCCAGGGCCGCCGCCACGACACGCTACTGTCTAATCTAGCCGATTGCTTTCCACTATGATTGCTCGCGCGTGTTTTGTACGATCATCACGTGTCCTTGTCAGCCCTCCCTCGGGCCAGAGTGTTCGCGGACCCGGCAAAGAGTGTGCTGTCCATCCAGGCACTCTGCGCAGCCAGATGCACTCTATATGGCTGAAGGCACTGGCACATCCTGTGCAGCAAGAGTAAAGCAGCACCTGACTACCACATGGCTCGCGTGAGGATGAGCATGACACAATGTGTGTAATGGTTCAACACCTAATCGTTCCCCCCTTGGCTTGTCCCTTGAACAACGTCCCCCACCGCAGCTGCTCCAATCAGGTCCACTGGGATCCTTGTGACGAAGCTGAGCTCGAAAGCTTCTCTTACGCCTGTGAATGCACGTATGTGCACACATCTGCGTATTTCTGTGTGCACACATCGAGCAATGCATCTCCAGATGCCTGCTGGAAATCTCCGCCACCGTGCCAGCCAGATGCGCTGGGTGGTTATTACGGTGGGCGCACAGGAAGCCGCAACGTGTGACACCCTAGTGCCCCGAGGCTTGGGAGAGCTAAACATGTGATATGCTCTTCCGCGTCGTGTCGCGGGTTTTCTTCTCGTCTGCGTCGTATTTCCCACTTTTCACTCCAAAATGTCTTGGGCTCCTGTGGGGCATTCTTGGTCTGGTCGGAAACTGGAGCATATACATTGACGGTGGTGAGCTGTTTTTCAATTCCAGGACTTGTCGAGGGTCGGGGACGACGTCGGGATGGTGTGGTGTATATTTGTTTTTCCGTGTTCCGAGGGAAGAACGGAACATGTATACACCAGGATCCCGTATACACCAGGAATCCGTTGCTTTGTGCGAGTTTCAGTGCGGGGCCAGAAAAAACGTCCGTGTACATAGAGTTCGGTTCCCCATTTGGTGGATCCGTAAACCACTTTGGGCCGTCTTGGGGTCCTCTTGGGCCTTCCTGTGGCTCTGCATCTCTCTTGGCCGTCATGGGGCTCTCTTGCGGCCGTCGCGGGGCAGTCTTTGAGCCGTCTTGGGCCGTCCAGGGCTGCTCTCTGAGACCGTTTCGGTTCCCTCCGGAGGCCCTCTTGGGCCAGCTTGGCCGTCCAAGGGCTGTATTGGGCTGTCCTGTGTCCGTCTTGAAGGATTGGTGGGCCATGTGGGGTTTTCTTGGGCCGTCTTGTGGCCATTTCGGAGGTCTGTTGGGTCGTCTTGAGGCCGTGTTGGACTGCCTTAGGACAAGCTTGGGCCGTTTTGGAGGCGTCTTGGGTCATCTTCGCGGCCTCGGTTGCTTGCCTCGGTCATCTGGGAAGCTCGGGAGTGCGGCTCCGTTGTTTTGGGATAAGTAGGGGTTTTGGCCTCGGACCCGCCATTGTTGTAGGAGGGATCGTGGCCTTGGGGGGGGTCGGGGCGCTGACGGGAGAGGGCCGCCGGAGTATTACAGACACCCTACCAGACAGCACCTGGCATTCTATCACGCCTCAGCGTCCCAGGGGGCACTGTGGCGGAGACGCACGTGCACGTTGTTTGGTCTGCGCAGTTGGACCCAGCACAGTCGGTCGGCGCACGTACACATGCATACAATGCCCATCTGCTTGTTGCTCATCGGCCGCGGCCGCGAGCCTGCGCTGGGCCACGAACCGCAGGAGATCGCACGGGTCGTGCAGCACAGTTCTTCTCGACACACGCACACACTCGCACCTATGCACATCCAACATATATCCGCACACGCACACACGGATGCAACGCACACGGAGTTGATGTGGCATTTTCACGTACACCGACGTACTTCACTCAGTAACTGCCGCCTCGTGGCAAGGGGAGGTCCCAGAAGTCCTCGTTCACCGAGGAGGACAGCCCACGGGCGGCCCCGCGGCGCCGATGGGCTGGCCGGCTTCGCTGTTCTTTGCCGCTCGGCAGTGCCGCCGCATCAGTGTTGTGGTCTTTCCCTTTCGTATAGCTGGAACTCGGTAACAAGATTCGGCGGCAAGCGAGAGGGGGAAGTGAGAAGGGGCGGGCCTTCTCAGAAGGCTCGGAAGTCCCCCGGCCTTGTGAGAAGTGTTCTGAGCCTTCCCCGAAGACACAAACAACTTCTGAGAAGGCGCGAGGGCTTCTGAGAAGCACCGCCGCCTTCTGAGAAGACCTTCTCCTTCTCACTTCCACGCCTCGCTTGCCACCGTCAGGTGGAATAGAGCAAACAGTTATTGCAGCGGGTGCCCTGGTTCAGCACTGATGCCAAACGATCCGTCGTCCATGGCCGATCTGCGTTCACCGTGCCGCGTTGGCGTCGCCCGAGGCGTCGTCAACCCTCAACCCAGGAATGGTATGGTGCACAGCTTTGCGGCCCTCAGAGTCGACAAACTATGCACCGCATCGCGCTGGAACCGGGCTGGAAGGGAGTCCAGACATGGCACAGAACAGGGGTGCCGTTCCCGTACGTCGGAGTGCGCGTTTGAGATGGGCGGATTCGTTGACTGCGTGAGTTGCCCTCTTTGCTTGTCATCGCATGTCCTGCCCTTCATCCGGGCACAACAAAGAACCACAACCACAACTAAGGAGATTTTTCGGACGGCCCCCTCGGGGGAGAACCCGCCGACCTCGACATATAAGCACGCTGGTGGTGGTTGCGGTCGATTTGGGCGTCCTGGGACGGCACATCGGCCACAACCAGTACGAAGCTAGTTCCGGTGTTCCGTCACATGTTTGCATGCGCAAGACATCCCCCAGGGTGTGTCTTCGATGTGGTTGTGGTCGCTTGCTGTCCCCGCACTTCAGGGGACCCCTCCGGTTACCAGAGCTTGTGCACGGACTTTGTTGTCTTGTCCCTCCCGCTTCATCGGAAACAAGTCAGACTCAAATTATCCGGAGCTCGGGCTTGCCGCCTCTCTTCGACGGCCCCGGCCTGGATTGGGCGGCCCGGTTTTTCGTGCGGTGCTCGCAGCGGGAGCTTGCCTGTCTCAAACTTCAGATTGGGTCCCGGCATTTCTCTGACGGCCCCGTCGGGCAGATTCGAGTCTCCCACAACCTGAATCTCACGCCTCCCCAAATTTAATTTGGTCGTCAGAAGGATGACGACGGCGTCGTCCTTCTTCTGACGACGACGTCGTCGGGCTTAGAGTTTGGTTGGGCCGTCTGTGGAGGCTCTCGTGGTCACGGCTGGACGCGGCGCGGGAAACTGGCAAGGACGGACTCCGAGGGGGTCCACGGACCCATGTTGAGCGGCTTTTGGTGCGGAACGTGGCGGGGGTAGCGGCCGCCTGAGAAAGCAGGGGACTTCCTTAGAAGACCTTCTGCCTTCCAAGAAGCCTCCGACGGGGTGACCGATCCCTTCGGGGAACCCCAATTGCTGGCCCCTGGCCTCCAAGACGGCCGCGCCATGCGCCCACGCCCTCTGCGTGTGGCTTGCCAACTGCACCTCGTCTTCCAAACTGGTCCGCTCCCGTTTTCGCACCTAGCGCTGTCATACATGAGGAGTCTGGTCTGATTTACTTACAGTTGTGTTGATCATGTGGTATGCCCTCTCCATCGAGGCCCAACGTTTCTTGAGCGGTTGTAGGAGTGCGGCCCAGCTTCACACCCCCAGGTGTTCGCGTGGGACGGTGGCATGAAAGACCTGGCCAGCGCTCGTCAATACAGCTGCTCGAACGGCATTGGTTGCACTGACGGTTGGATGCTGGTACCCTGGTTTGTTTTTACACCATAGAGTTTGTGCGAGTTTCTTCCCACATGTCTTGCATCCCAGACTCTTGGCGCAAGAGTGCAAATATGATCCCAACGATGACGCGGATCCAGGAATTGGAAGACCTCGCGATGACGCTGAAAAGGAGAAATGTGGAGCTGGAAGACGTCATCAAGAGGACAGGGGGGGTGTCGAATTTGCAGGAGAGGTCTGCACAGAGTGGCGAACAAAGAGATTGGAACTGGGGTCCTGGGAGCTGGGGGCATGCACTCGTCAGCTCGTTCAGTAGTGCCCACGTGTACAGGTCTGTCTCGCAAGTCCCAACATCCGCCATGCTGATGCGCAACGACTGCCCCAAGACCTCGCTTAGTTTGTGATTGGCGGACAAAAGAGTTCCCGACCCGCCTCGCACACACTGCATACCACAACGCGGCCGCCACGCGCCAAGGATCCTATTTCTCCCTGGGTATGCCGCCTCGCGTCTTCGACGCATGATGACTGCATGCCGCGGCCAGACGCCAAGGGTCCCAGCACCCTCTGGATGCCCCGCCTCGCGTCTTCGGGTGTGGATCGCTCGAAGCAAGGTAGCTTGAGTTTTGTTTTGCTTTCTGGTCGAATTCGTCATTGCTTGGCGAAGGATTATCGAAAACCAGTTTGCAGCGTATAGAACGCCTGGCATTTGGAGCCGTGCTATATCGGCATCGTCTGGGATGTACGAAGCTGCGGCAGAATGCTAGGCAAGGTGACGGGAAGAATGCGAGGGCATTCGAAGCGGCAGTGAGGTAGAATGGCGGAAAGGATCGGAAATGGTCAGGATGATGGGGAGGAGTGATGTAGGGGAGCATCGGCGACGGCCTTGAGCACGACAGCGTCCCATCTTCGCTGGGCACGCCACAATCAACATAATTAGTGGGTGCAGTTTCTGGGGATGTGCACCTCTTGCAGAAGACTCTTACCTGGTACAGGGTGTGTAGGACAGTGTGTTTGTGTGTGTGTGTCTGTGTGTCTGTGTGTGTGTGTGTTTGTCTGTGTCTGTCTGTGTGTGTGTGTGTGGGGGGGGGTCTTGTCGGGCCCTATTGTCTAAGCCACATCCGTGCCTCGTTACGGATCAAGCCGCACTTTCCAGTCACTCGCCATCTCGCGACCTCTGAGGTCACGGACCTGGGCTCAGAGGGACAGCGGGCTAGAGCTGCAGCTCTGGAGTCGCTCGACGAGCTCGCGCCTTCAACTCCCGACGCGGGCGCAGCTCGTCCGGTCCACCTCTCGGCCGACCAGGGCCCCTCAGTCGGCGCAGGGGCCGCCCGAGGATGGCCACACGGGGGCATCCCGCCGGGAAAATGAGTCCGTCACGGCCATGAGCTCGTCTGATAAGTCTTCACGCTTTGCGTATACCCACCAGCCCCCCTGGCCGCCGGCCCCCCTGGCAGTCAGACTCCCTGGCCGCCGCCCACCCTGGCAGTCAGACTCCCCCTGCAGCTGTAGCATTCGGGCACACAATTCACTTGCGGCTTGCAGACCCTGGCAGCCGGCCACCCTGGTTGTTTGCCGCCCTCCGCAGCTCGTTGCATGCCGCCCTGTATCTAATTTACCCGCAGCCTGCAGGCCCTGGCATTCGGCCACCCTGGCAGTCAGCCCTTGCAGCTCGTTGCATACGTGCACCCTGGCAGTGCAGCTACCCTGGTTGTCGCAGCCTGCCTCCACTCGCCGGCCTGGCCGCCGAGGTGCCGCGTGAGGCTTCGGCCCACTGGCTTTCGGTTAATTCGTCCTTGCGCGCCCCGCTCTGACTGGACACGCCGTCGGCGCCTTCGCCTGCGGCCGCTGACGAAAAAGTACCCCCACCAGCCCATTCAGAAGACCTGCCCATGAGAGCTGACCGGACATGGGAAGAGGAGACACACATAGTGAACCACAGTGGGCAAGGAAATGAGGGGGAGATGTTGGGGCCCTCTTGGGGTGCTCTTGGAGCTCTCTTGGGGCTCTCCTGGGAGCTTCGGAGGGCATCCTGGGGCCATCTTGGAGGCCATCGATCAAAAGAGGGGGGGTCCTTTACCTAGCTCCCCCCCGAAGAGCCCTCAACATCGCCTCTGGGGGACCTCTTGGGGCGTTCTTGGGGCGCTCTGTGGCCGTTCTGGAGGCATCTTGGGCCTCTCTTGGAGCTCTCTTGGGCCATCTTGGGGCCACCTTGAGGCCTCAGAAGCGCATCGGGGATTTGTGGGGTTTCCGAGGGCACCTGGAACCGTCTTGTGGCCTTCTTGGGGTATCTTGCAGGCATGTCGGAAACTGAATTGAAGTATCTTCGGTCGTCTTGGGTCTTGAACGTCATCTTGGGCTCTCTGAGGCCCTCTTGGAGCCATCTCAGGCTATCTCGGACGCCCTGACCGCTCGCGACCTCCCCCGTCCAGGTCCAGGGGAGGAAGTAGGGGGAGGGGTCAAGCTACCCTCCCGCCCGCAAGCCGTCTAGCGCACTCCCACCCGCCCTCCCAACAGATGCAGCACCCGAGCCTGAGCATGTTCAGCGGTCGTGACACCTACTGGGAACCAAAGCCGACCCCAGGTGCGCGACTCTTGGGCGAGGTGCGCCACGCGTGCCAGGGGCGCCACGCGCGCCACGCGCGCCAGGCACCCCTGGGGCCCGACCATGCCAGGCACGCCTGGTGCGCCAGATGCGCCACGTGCTCCGAGTGCGCCAGGTGTGCCGCACACTCCAGTCGCGCCAGGTGGCCGCGCATGATCCAGATGTAGCCTCGAGGTGCATGTTGCATTTTTGTGTCAGGAGTGGTAGCCCTGCGTACGGCAGGGAATATGCTGGCACCACAGCCGTCCTTGTCAAAACAATACAAACTGTTCGCGGGCCTCACCAACATGACTCAAGACTTTGCCCAAAAATGTACTTTGCATGGTTTTTTACAGGGGTGATGGGGGGGGCGCATCGGGTCGGCCGCGCATGCTCCAAATGTGGAAGCAAAGTGCGGTTTGAAGTGCTTTCTGAAGGGAGGGATGTTGGGGGTCGGGTAGTCATGGTGTCCTCATGGTTCCTGGTTGGGCGCCAGTCGCTCGGGGGAGGGGGTGCATATTAATAAGGAACAGTGATGCACCATTCCTCGAAGGGGAAGAAGGGGCTTTTGGAAGAGGAAAGAAAGACATCGTTAGACCACCTGTCGCCAAGAGTGCTGGTGGGATTTGTGACTCGACGCGCAGTCCATCCCCCCTTCCTCTGGTCCTCCATTCGGCGGCGAGTGAGGGGGGGAAGTGGGAAGGAGACGGCCGTCTCGGAAGGCGGCGGGGCTGCTCAGAAGCCCTCCGGCCTTCCGAGAAGGTTTTGCCTGCGCCTTCAGGGAAGGCTCAGACAACTTCCCCGAAGGCCGGGGGGGTTCCCGAGCCTTCTCGGAAGGCCCGCCCCCTCCTCGCACTCCCCCCCAGGCGTGTCGCCGATCCCTGGAGGCCGCGTCGGGGATCCCCCGGGGCCCGTTGGGTTGTTGCCCGCCCAGCTGGAACGGCCCTGCAGCGGCGTCCAGGGCCCGCCTCGCCGGGGGCGCAGCAGGCGTGGCAGGCCAGACGTGGTGCCGTTCGCGGTGCGCCGTTGTGCTCTGCGGCGCGCTGTAATTACACGATGGGCTCATTTTCCACCACCACTACCATCGGGAGGAAGGAGGAGGAGGAGGAGGAGGAGGAGGAGGAGGAGGAGGACCTCGTCATCCTCCCTTCTCTCCCGTCCTACCTGTGGCAGCGGTGCTGGAAACTTTGCCCATCAGTACATGTTCTAACCACGCGGGGCGCGCCGTGTTCCGAGCGGCCCGTACGGTTGGCGCAGTGACCGCCCTTGGCCGACCAGCACACAGACGACGCCACCCCACCTGCGGCCCTTCATGCTGCGCTGCGGCCCCTCGGGGGCCGTAGCGTGTACCACGCCAGGGCTGGACCTAATCGCTGTTTTGCTGGACCTCGGCTGTGTTGTGCTCTTCGTTTTGGGAGGGAGGTACAGGTACCGGAAACAGGTAGAGCTGAACAAAAAACAGCATGAAAACAACACGAACAACAACGTTTAGGTCGAGCCCTGTACCACGCAAAGGCCCACGCCAGATCTCCAGGTGGGGTGGTGTCGTTTGTTTTCTGGTCCACTTGGGCCCGCTTGTCGCAAGCCTTGGGGCCATCGAAGCTGCAGTCGGCCCAGATCAGTAGGTCGACCCTGCCAGATCAAGGGGGTGCCCTTGCGTCCTGTGCCTCGTGACCCATGCCTTCTCACATTCCTGTGGCGATGTGGCCCTCGGAAGGGTCTTGTGTCCTCTCGCGTGTCCTGTCCAACCAATTCCGACTGTGTTGCGGAAAGGGCTCCGCCCGAAGACGGGTCCGCAGCCGGATCTGTGAGTGGGACGTGGGCGAAAGCAGGTCCATGTCCGCGGCCTCGCGGGCCGAGCCCTTGGACCGCGACCCTGCGCATGCGGAACGTACAGCCAAGATGCCGAGAGAAGGGCTGCGGTGGGTTCAGGAGGGGCTCGGACTTCCGGGCTGCTCCTCAGACCCGGGTCGGGGAACCTAGTTCGTGGTCGCAGCTCGCCGGGGCCCAGCACAGCGCCCCGGGGTTCCTTATGCAGCGTCCCTTTCCAGTCGCATGATGTCTGTATCCGCGCGACCGCGCATCCGCGGGAGCGCGCCCCGGAATCCAGTGGGCCGCGAGGGCGCGGGGACGGAGGGGCTCGCCGCTGGTGAGTGGTGGGGCGGGGCGGCAGGCCGCCCAGGCCCTCGGCGCGATGGGCACAGCCATGCCGAGGTGGCAGGACGAGCCGTTCCGAGGGCCGCCCCCGGGTCGGGGGTTTGTAGGGGGGGGGCCGCCCAAGGCGGCGTGAAGGAGCGAGCCCAGCTTGAGGCTGACGCTCCTCTTCTCCAGGAGCCGTCAGGGGGAATTTGCCTCCAGCCCCACCTCTGGGCCCACCCCGCCTCTGCGTCCACTCGGCATAGACGGCACCACCAACACCAGAGGGGGGCCAACTCCAGCGAGCGGGCCCACGATGCCTCCCCGAGCTGGGGATGGGGGATGTCCCGAGCGAGAGGGGAGGGAAGGGGCACGCCACCAGGCCCTGGCGCATCGCGCTTGTGGTGGTGGTGCCGCCTTTCCTTGCTACAAGCGAGGTGCCCTGGTGGCGGCGCTGGCTTGGCTTCACCAGAGGTGAAGTGCATGGCTGATGATAGGAATCCCCTCGCTACCTCCTTTCAAGATCCCGAGCTTCGAGGCGGTCCCGGCCGTGGCCACTTGGGGGGGTCCTCCCCCCCCAAATAGGAATGTCGAGTCTCGAGGCCGGAGGCAGAGCCTCGCCGATTTTCGGACCCCCCTCTCCTCCCCGAGGCTCGATCCTCGAACCTCGAGGTCGAGCGTCGGAGTTCGTTTCTCGAAGCCCCCTTCTCCTCCGCGAGCCTCGGTCCTCGAACCCCTGGGCCGAAGCCCCCCAGACATCCTCCGCTACGTAGCACCCCGCGCGTGCGGATCAGGGGTGGGGTGCGGCGGCGTTCTCGCCGAAAGCTTTCGCCCAGGACCCCCGCCTCAGACCATCCGCCCAGCCCCCCGCCGAGGAGCTTCGCTGAGGACCCCCCCGCCCAGGACTTTTCGCCCAGGACCCCCCGCCGAGGACCCCCCACCCAGGGCCCCAGTCGAGCAGAAGCGGACCCACAGCGGCCACGCACGCCCACGGCACCCTCATTCTGATTATCTGTTCACTTCGCAGCCCCAGAGCTTCCGGCCCTTTCCACAGGGGCAGCGCTGCGTCCCGGATCTATTTCTGAAAGCCCTTTGGGCTCGAAAGCTGCACCTTCAGAGGCCGAAGTCAGGGCAAAGCGCAGCGATAGTGACAAACACCAGATCGTCGGATGCTTGGGCTCCACGGGCCAACCGAGCAACGTGCCGATGCGTCGTCGGAGACCTCCTCGGAAGCCCCAGGCGCGCGGTTCCCCGCGGCCACCGCCATCGCGGGCGGCCAGCCGACCTTTGGGGGGGATGCGGGGGGGTCGGCGGGCCGCGACAGGGGGCGCTGCTGAGGGGCGCCAGTTGGCGTCGATGGCGCTGGGCTGGGCTCGAGCCTCGATCCTCCCCTGTCGCCTCCTCCGCCCTCGTCCGCTCTCCGTCCTTTCGGGTCCTGAAAAAAAAACGACGGTTGTTGTTCGCTACGTTCCGCCTCCAGGGACCTTCGCTGGGTCTCGGGTCTGTCAGCGACGGCGCAGGATGAAAAACCGGTCCAGGGGAATGGGTCGAGACGTTTGGGGGTCGACGTCACGAACAAAAATCGTGGCGTCGGGGGTTTGGATTTCCTCCCCCGTCCAAGTTTACATCGCGCTCGCAGGGCAGCGCTGGTAGCTCCCCCTGTGGTTTCTCGAGTGGTGGGCGCAGCGGCACCACCGCTCCGTTGCTGCAGGAGCCGCACGTCTGTTGGGGGAGGAGGAGGAGGAGGAGGAGGAGGAGGAGGAGGAGGAGGAGGAGGAGGAGGAGGAGGAGGAGGAGGAGGAGGAGGAGGAGGAGGAGGAGGAGGAGGAGGAGGAGGAGGAGGAGGAGGGGGGGGGGGAGGAGGAGGAGGTACTTTTTGGGGGAAGCCTGGCCGTGAGCGTCCGTCCGTCCTCTGCCCTCGCCCTCGGCCCCCACTGGGCCTTGGCCTGCGCCCTCGTCCTCGGCCCTCCGCTCGCCCGTCCGCCCTCCGCCCTGCCCCCCCCCTTCTGGGCCCTTGGCGGGGCCGCCAGGGGGACCGTCCAGGCGCAGGACGTGGCTGCGAGCAGCGGACGCCATCGTGGTTCTGCACCTTCCGAGAGGCGACGGCCACGCGCGCCTCGCCCACACGGGCACGGGCACACGCGCCTCTCCGCGCGTGCCGCGATTGGCGCCTCGCTCGCGTGCTCGCTCCGCCCTCGTGCTCGGCCACCAGCCTCGCCCCCTTTGGGCACCGGCGGGGCGGTCGGGGGTGCAGTGAGAGGAGGCAGGCCTTCTCAGAAGGCGGCGGGGCTTTGCAGAAGCGCGCTCTCTCAGAAGGCCTGGGGCCTCCGACCCCTCTGGCTTCCCCCCCTTGTGTCGCCATGGGGAAAGCGGGCCCGAAAGGTAACGGGTTCTGGAGTGTTTCGCCGTTTTCGGGCTCTTGGGGCCCTCCACGGGCCCTGGGACTGTCAGAGAACGGCTCCGGATGACAAACTCACCCGGGTCCAGGACCCTCTACCTTACCACGACATAGGAGCGACGATGAAGCGAAAGCGTCTCAACGCAACCTGGTGGGGGATCCCACGAGTGGGACGGAGCGGGCCATGCTGACGACACCGCAGCCTCGCCAGGCACCGCGCCCTCCCCGTCCGCCAGAGTGAGATACTGTCGGAGCTCGTCGCTGCAGTGCCTCCGCCTCGGGGGCCCGCTTCCCTCGGGACCCGCCTCCCCCGTGCTGGCTGCGCTCGCCGCCGATTGGGGCACCGGCGGGGCGGCCAGGATGACCGTCAAGGAGCAGGAGCTCCTGGCCACGGTCCGGCGGCTGGAGACCGACAGGGGCAGGCCGACGCCCGGAGAGGAGGAGCGGCCGTCGTCGTCGTCGTCGTCGTCGTCGTCGTCGTCGTCGTCGTAGTCGTCGTCTAGGTCATCGTCCTCATACTCCTCCCCATCACCATTCGCCGCCACCTCCTATCTCGTCGCCTCCTCCTCTTCCTCGTCCTCTTCTCCTTCTCCGAGATGGGCTACCAGCACGGATACCTCTCCATCTGAGGCGCTTCTGCGCCCCCGGTGGTCCGCCTGGCCTCAAGTCAGGGTCGCGGCGCCAGGATTATGACCCTTTTCCCTTGGGCCTTGGGGCACACCAGCCGCGTCATCCACTCCTCTGGCCCTTCGGTCTCCAGGTCCTGCAGTGCGCATTGTGTCTAAAACGCGCTGTTGCAAGGCGCGGTGTGGGGGCCACTGGAGCCGAGGTTCGTCTGTCTGTCTTCGTGTCTCGACGTCGCGCAGCGGCTTCAGCGTAAAGCGTGCTGATGGGCGTGAGGGAGAGAAAGAGAGAGCAAGAGGGAGCAAGAGAGAGAGAGAGAGAAAGAGAGACCGAGAGAGAGAACGACTCAGAGAGACAGAGACAGAGAGATGGGTGAGTTCGAGAGAAAAGCGAGAGGCACGCTAGGTGCGTTCGCCCCAAATCTGACATTCGACCCCATCCCTCGCGTCCACTCCCCATTGCGTTGGATAGTGTTCCGCCTCCAACTAGAGTGTCCCGGAGAACCTTTTTGTGTCCAATTGACACTTGCAGGATTTGACTCACCAGTTGTTGCGCAGTCAAGAAGGCGATGGGCGAGGGGCATGTTGGCATCGGGGGAGGATAGGCACAAGGTTGAGGAGGAGGAGGACCAGGATGGGCAGAAGGTGGAGGAGGAGGAGGAGCAGCAGCAGCAGCAGCAAGAGCTGGAGGAGCAGGAGGAAACGAGATGGGCGGGAACGACGAGGCACCAGTCGGATCCAGAAACGTGTGGCTGCCGCCGGGGTTAGCGCCCCCACGTGGACCGGCTGGAGTGGGGCACACCGATCTTGATAATATGTGCTCATCGCTGCAGCGGCAGCCCCATCTTTGAAGCACGGAGCCGCCCAAGCTGATCAGAGACAAGCATCCGAAACATCCACTTTGGAATGCATTCGTGTGGAAGTGAAATTCTCTCGAGAGGTCGGGTAACGTTGGTACGATGTCAGCGGGAGGCAGGATACTGGTATCCTCGTTGGGTAGTAGCACTGGAGAGAGAGAGAGGGGGAGAGAGAGAGAGAGGGAGAGAGAGAGAGGGGGGGGGGGGAGAGAGAGATGGCAGAATATCCCCAACAGCTTTACGCTGGCGGAGGGAGAGGGGAGTCTCAGGAGGCCGCGGGCTGCCGCGGGAGGCCACGGGAGGCCACGTGAACCTCTACAGGCAAGTTGCTGAGACGACTCGTCTCGAATGCGGCCCCTGATCCCCGCTCGCCCGTTCGCGCAGCTTCGCCTCATCGCCCGCACGCGCGCTATGCATGGGAGGCAAACCGAAGGCGAAGCCGAGCCCCTGGCGGGGGGGAGTATATGTCCCGTGGGCCACGCTTTCCACTTGCCAAACAGCCAACTGACGATGGCAAGCAATGTGGGTGCTTGCGTACTTGATCATACTTGTGTGCAAACCTATACATTCGTACATGAGTCTGTCTGTTGCTGTCTTACCGTTCCATCACACGTTATACTTAGCTAAGTGCATTCACTGACACACAGCGCAGAACAAAACAAACACATACGCGTGTATAGATGTGTGTGTACAGATCACCGCAAAGTGCGCGCGGGACAGCAACTGGACCACAACGGGACCCTCGCAGGACAACCACAGGACTACCACAGGACAACCACCAACAGTTCTAAAGCAACCACAGGACATACGCGTGACAGTCGCGCGGATCAACCTTACGTGACAATCGCATGGAACAGCCGCCACGACACAATTGAATAACACCCACCAGGAATTTGCGTCCGACCAGAACATGACAGACACATGTTCCTCGAACTTGTCAGTGGTTGCGGCAGGTCATGGACAGCTTCGCCTCGCCCGCATGAGCGGAACGAGACGAACCGATCTAGAATTAAAGTTGGTTTCTCGGAGTGACCCGTTCCACCGCTCAGCACATCCCAACCTCGAGTGAAGAGGGGCTCGCATCGCGAGGGAGCGCTGCAGTGCCATCGGTCACTGGTCTGCTGTGTTTGTCTTGGGCATTGCCCTCCTCCTCACCATCCTCGTGCTCTTCCTCCGCCTCCTCATCCTCCTTCTCCTCTGCATCCTCCACCTAAGTCGAGAGTGCATACTGTATTTGTTAGGCGTCGCCGGGAGGACGAAGGCTGGGTCGCTGCGTTTGGGGCGCGCCAGTGACAGGAGGGGATTATTCCAACTTCGGATACAGAATCCGCAGATTCAGGTCCTGAAGAGGGAGCAGCTTGAAGCATTTGTTCTGTATCGCCGTGGACGGCCCCGCCGAGATGCAGTTGTAGCCTCTTCCTCCCAGCTGCGCAGCGGGGGCGCGCGCCCCGCAAAGCAAGGGCGCATTGAGGCGGCGGCCTGGCTGCGTCTGCGCTGGCTGCTCGCTGTTGCTGCTGCTTCCTTCTCCTCTCCTCCCTCCCCCTTCTGCTTCCCTCTCCCTCCTGAGCCACAGGGCGACCCCTCGCGCAGGTTTTGACAAATAAGGAGCAGCCTCCTCGGCTCCCCCGGCCGCGCCTTCCCAGGCCTCTCTCCCGGAGAAGCGACGGGCGCCGGAGCGGGTGGGGCCAGCGGGCCGCGCCGGCCTCGCCGACGCCTCGGCCATGCGGTTCTGCGTGGAGCCCGGCCTTCTCCACGCCGGCCTCGCCGACGCGCCTCGACGCCGGCCTTCTCTGCCCGGAGCCCGGCCTTCTCCACGCCGGCGCCGCCGACGCGCCTCCATGCCGGCCTTTGCGCGGAGCCCGGTCTTCTCCACGCCGCCGCCGCCGAGGTGCGCCGCCGACGCCGCGCTGCCCTGCCGTCCTGCCCTGCCGCTGCTGCCCGGCGCGGCGCGCAGCAGTGAGGAGCTCGAGCGGCTGGCGCTGGACAGCGCGAAGCGCGAGCGCGAGCTGAAGTCGGAGGTCGACAGGCTGCGGCTGGCGGAGCAAGGCCGCGGCCCGCTCCGGCTGCGGCGCTCTCTGCGCGGCCCCAGCGACGTTTCCTCTGTTCTCCGCCGTCTCTCCCCCCCGCCCCTCTCCCCTTGCTCTGCCGCTCCTTCTCCCCCTCGCTCTCAGGTTCTCTCTCTCTCTCTCTCTCTCTCTCCCTTCCTCCTGCCTTTCCCTCTCTCTATTGCTCTCCCCTTCTCGATTCCTATATCCTTGTGCTGTTTCCCATGGTTCTGTCGGCACCTACATTCACTATTTCTCCTCTTGCGCTCAGGGGGTTATACTTATCCCACCGAAGGAGCTAGATGGACGTGTCAGATTCTCGCCACGTTGCGGACACGTGCCGCCTCGTTGGCGCCTCGTGGGTGCCCCGCGCTCGGGGGGCACTTCGAGGTTGCGCCGCGTTGCCGCCCGTGCCACCTCGCTGGCGCCTCGTAGGGTTACACGACACAGCCTTTTCGCCACATAGCTTACACCCTTACACCGCATAGCTTCCGCAACATCTCTGAAACCGCACATCGTGCACAACCTGCCATACACCACAAGACTTGCACCCCATAAGATGTACCTCCACTTCGCACCGCGTAGATTACACGACACACCTTACACCACACAACTTGCACCACATCATTTGCCCCGTCTACATCGCGTACGCTATTTAGTTTTCATTGCATAACTTCCGCCGCATAGTTTGCGCCACATAGCTTGCACCGCATAGCGTGCACACCACAGCTTACACCGTAAAACTTGCACCCCATAACTGTCACCTCCAGCTCACCTCGCATAGCTTACACGACATAGGTTGCACCACATGTCTTACACCTCAAAAGTTGCACCTCCGTAGCTCACACTACTCATATTACACGATATCGCGGTCACCTCATAGCTTACCCAGCAGACCTACCAGCTCCACAGTGTAATCACAGCTTATTGGGGTCTACGCTGGCTAACACTGCCCATCTGTATTCCCTGTTTATAGGAGCTATATCTCCCTCTCTATTTCTCGCTTTGACTCTCGTCCTTCTCCACCTCTCCCTATCCGTTCATGCCTGTCTGCAGAATAACACCTGTTTTAATTTGTATATACACGCAGCTTCTCCTCTGTCTCTATGTCTCACTATGCTTCGTCGCCCTTGTTTCAGCACTTGTTCTTGCATGCGCATCACCGATGAGGAGGCTGGGGTAGCGGGGCGGTACAGTCAAGGCGTTGAAATAAGGACCGCTTTGGGCTGAGGACGGGCTTGGGTTTTCGGGCTTTCCCTTCGGCAGAATGTGGTGGAACCTGTTTGTGGCCAGAAAAGCCCCTTCGTTCCTTATGATGCGTTACTTATGGTATCGTGATGACTGCATGCGCATCAGTTCTGCATGCCCTTCAACGGGGGGGGGCCATGGCATGTGCGGACCAAGAGGTGGAGGGACGAGCGAGAGCCAACATTGGCCCACAGCGGGTCTCGGGTCGCCTCTCGGGGTCCATCCGGGCCAGCTGCTCGAGCTGCGACCAGCCGTGACGACAAGACCTGTTCGGACGCGCCCATAATTCTTCAAAACGGTAGCGGTGTTGTCGGCGTCGGCGTCGACGACAACGTCGTCGACGACTTCGACGACTTCGACGACATCGACGACGACGACGATGGGACAGGGGGATGGGACGGGAAAGGGAAGGGCAGTGGATAGGAGGGGAGGGGAGAGGGGAGGGACGGACGAGGGGAGGACGAGAGAGGAGGGGAGGCGCGGGAGGACTTGGAGGAGGGGGAGGGGAGGGGGAGCAGGGGAGGGGAGGGGGAGCAGGGGAGGAGCAGAAGGGGAGGCGAGGAGGGAAAAGGAGGAGGCGGACGAAGCGGACCCTCGAGAGTCCACGGCAGGAGGGGGCCGCTGCGCGCCAGGCCACGCGGCGGAGGTGACCTCCCTGAAGCAGACGCTCATGTCCAGGAGCTCCGCGCCGGTGGAGCGGGACCTGGAGGCCCCCCTTCTCTGTCCTCCCTTCCCTCCCTCCTCACTCCCCCTCCTCATCCCCCCTCCTCCGCCTCGAGTGGAGGAGGGAGAGCGGTGGATGCAAATGCAGAAAAAAGCGCTCGGAGTGTTATCGCAAGCGCGCCGCAGAGGACATACGAGGGAAAGTAAGGAGAGGCGGACGATGAGGGATGATGATGATGATGAGGAGGAGGAGGAGGAGGAGGAGGAGCAGGAGGAGGAGTGCGGTTCGGACTTTACGTGCATCTGGGACCCATCCCCTCCTCCAGTGTTGTATTCAATTGGGTCGATATGCGACTGCATTCATGTAGCAGCACCATAGCAGTTCATCATTTCCTTCTCCCGCTTTGCTCCTCCTCCTCCTCCTCCTCCTCCGTTCCCTCCCCCTGCTCCGTCTCTTCTGCTTCTGGCCTGTTCCCTCACTGTCCCACCCCAACCGCCACTTGGCGATGGCCATGCCACCCAGCCGCCAGCCATTTGGCGATATCGTTGCTTGATTTCGCTCCGTCCTGTGTGCCCTTCTCCCAACCGCCACGTGGCGAGGCACGAGCACCATTCCGCTACTTGGCGACGCTTTCCTTTGCCTCGCCGTCAATGCCTGTTTGCGTGATGTGTCGTAGGACACTTCCTCCGCGCCCTTTGCTTATACCGAGTCGCGTACTGCCTCGTCCGCACCTGCTGCTGGCACGCGGCATGCGACACCGCACGCGCGGATTCCGTGGGAGCCTGCACACATGTTGCCGAATTGCGCGATTGGTCCCCGGCGGGCAGGGGACATGCCGAGGCACTTGCTCCACTGCCAGACCCCTTGTTCGGGGCCCTTGCTTGGGGATGTGCATCTCCGCCCATTTCTGCCCGACGTCATGTTTGGGCTCAGAGTTGAGGTGAGTTGCGGGTACGGGCGGGAGGATGAGGAGGAGAAGGAGGAGGAGGAGGAGGAGGAGGAGGAGGAGCAGGAGGAGTGAGAAGGAGAGAGCACGAGGAGAAGGAGGGGAATGAGGGGGAGAGGGAGGCTACAGGGGCGATGGGGGGGGGCGAGGAGGAGGACGTAGAGGAGAGGAATGAGGACGAGGACGGCGATGGGGAAAGGAGGAGCGGGAGGAAGAGGGAGGACACGAGGACGAGGACGAGAGAGGAGGACGGAGAGGGAGAGGGAGAGGAGGACGATAAGGAAGGGTAGGAGGAGGAGGAGGAGGAGGACGGAGAGGGAAGATGTTGAGGACAGGGAGGGCGCGCACATTTTTGCCTGGGCTGCCCGCGAGGGCGTGGCGAAGACGCACGCGGCGATACTGAGCTGCGAGTCCCTCATGGGCAAGATGAAGGTCCCCTGTGCCCCTCGAGAAAAAAACACCAGACACCCTGTGCTCTTCGAGAAGAGCCAGGCATCCAGGGGAGTGCACATCGAGACAACCAGCTGCTCGCCGTTTGGGGTCTTCGGTGGCTTGCTGCGGGCCCCAGGGCCATCAACAACCACGCGGGCTGAAAAGCCGGGCCTGGAGAAGGGATCGAGGGGTCTGGGGCCCGGGGGCCAGGCCTTCAACCGCTGGATGTTTGGAGGGATGGAGGCGAGAGGATCGGTGAGCTGCTTGTGTGAGTGTAACGTCTGTTGCACTCGTGTTTGTTTGGTTGTATGGTGTCGTAGTTTGGGTCTTTGAACCAGTTGTAAATCACTTCAGGATCGATTCTTAACGTATGGCGTGTCCCCACCAGCTCAGTCTGCAACGATGCCCAGGCAGACGGCATCCGTTGAACGACATCTTGCGAGCATGCCGAGCAGGCCCAATAAACATGTATGTAGCAATATTTGTATATATCTTCATGTGTAAATGCAGTTGTATATGTATATAAGTATACATATATAAGTGTGTATCGATATACATGTATATGCTTATGTGTATACTTATATATATATATATATAAAGAGAGAGAGAGAGAGAGAGAGAGAGAGAGAGACCCTGCCTTCTGGAATCGCCCATGTGGCCGAGCGTTGTGGCAGGAGCTCTGCCAAGCTATCGGACCATGTGTTCCTCCAGCCGTTGTGTAAACCCTTCGGGGAACACTTGGGGGAGGATGCCTCTTGGGGGCCTTCGGGGGCTTCTCGGGGGCCTCTTTGCCCGTCTCAGGGGCGTTCCTGGCCCGTCTGAGGCTGTCGGAAGCCGTCTTGGGGGCCTCTCTGGGCCGACTTGGGGCCCTCTTGGGTTGCTCCAGGGCCGTCTTGGAGGCCATCTTGGGCGTGATCGGAGGCCTCTTGGGCCGTCTTGGGGCACTCTTGTGGCCGCCTTGAGGGCTTCTCGGGCCGTTCTGGGGACATCTTGGAGGCCTCTTGAGCGATCTTGGGGCGATCTTTGGTGGCTCTTCGGCCGTTTCGGGCCGTCGGACAGCTGAAAAGAAGCGAATGCCGAAATCTTTCAAAAACCTTATGGCATTCGATGATTGTGGCCTTTTCAGGCCTTCCTGGAGAACCTCTTGGAGGCAAGTTCGGCCATCTTGAAGGCCTCTTTGGGGCCTCTTGGGCCGTCTTCGGTCATCTTGAGGTCATCTTGGGCCGTTCTGGATGCTTTTTGGCTAAACTTGGAGGCATCTTGGACCCTCTTGGGTCGTCTTGGATGCCGTCTTAGACCATCTTAGGCGAACTTCAGCGCTAGCTTGGCCGTCGTGGAGGCTATCTCGGGCCAGTCTTGGGCCATCTCTGAGCCAACTGGAGCAGGAGAACCCTTTGCAACCACCTCGAACGCAGCCTTTCGGGCGGCCGGCGGCATCGGCCGACCCCCCAGAGGGAGTTCTCAAAGAACCACAGACCTCCTGAAGTCTGGCACGCCAGGCACCGCGGTAGCAAGCCAACAGGGGGCGGTGGATGACAGAAAGCGCGCGCAGGCTGCGATCCTTCAGTCGGGAGCAACTCTATTAGGGGGAGTTCGAGGGGGGCGGCAGCCGGCGCCCCAGATCAAATGGCAACATGTTCCTCCCGAGAGGCCAGAGATAGCCCAAGACGGTCCACGATGGCCTCCAAGACGGCTCCAGAGGGATCAAGAGGCCTCCAACTTCGCCCAAGATGCCGCAAAGACAGCCCAAGAGGCCTCCAAGACGATCCAAGAGGCCTCCAAGACGCCCCAAGAGGCCTCCCAAGAAGGCCCAAGTAAGCAAGAATCATGGATGTCCCCATGGTTTTAAGGTTTTTCGGGTTCTCGCCTTTTCGGCTTCCCGGCGCTGCAAGACGGCCCAAGAGGCCCCCAGGATCGCCCCCAGGCGGCCAAAGAGGCTCCACAGACGGCCCCAGGATGTCCCAAGACGGCCCCAAGACGGCCCAAGAGGCTTCCAAGTCTGTCCAAGAGACCCTCAAGACGGCTCCAGGAGGAGGCCCGGACGGGCCATCGGCCCCAAGACGCCCCCAGGAGGCCCACAGACGCTCCTAAAAAGCCCCAAGCGGCCCCCAAGAGGCCCCAAAGAGGCGTCCTAGAGCTTAGAGGCTTCAAAATGGCTCCTGGGAGGCGTTGAAACGGCCTCCCGAAGGGATCTTCCACGATATCCCAACGAACACCGAGGAGGAGGATGATGATGAGGAGGAGGATGACAAGGAGGAGGAGGAGGAGGAGGAGGAGGAGGAGGAGGAGGAGGAGCAAGAGGAGGAGCAAGAGGAGGGAGGAGGAGGAGGGAGGAGGGGGAGGAGGGGGAGTTGGTGGGGAGGGAAGGAGGATGAGGATGATGATCAGGAGGAGGAGGAGAAGGAAGAGGAGGGAAATGCAAAAGAAGAAGAGTAAGAATAATGAGATGTGGAGGAGGAGGAGGAGCAGGAGCAGGAGCAGGAGCAGGAGATGGGGAGGGGAGGAGGAGCAGAAGAAGATGTTGAGGAGGAGGAAGAGGAGGAGGAGGAGGAGGAGGAGGAGGAGGAAGAGGCGGAGCGAGGAGGAGAATGAGGATGAGAAGAAGGAGGAGGAGGAGGGATAGTGATGATGATGATGAGGAGGAGGAGGAGGATGAGGAGAGGAGGAGGAGGGGGGGAGGAGGAGGAGGAATTGGAGGAGGAGGAGGAGAAGGAGGAGGAGGAGGAGGAGGAGGAGGAGCGAGGAGCGAAGATAGGGGAGCGAGCTGCGAGGAGCGGGAGGCGGAGAAGGAAGAGGAGGAAGAGGAAGCGGTGGCGGAGGAGCGGTGGGCGAGAAGCGATGAGCAAGGACGAGGAGGACGAGGAGGAGGAGAACGAGGAGGATGAGCAGTAGGATCAGGAACATGATGATGATTAGGTTGCTGATGATGATGCTGATGTTGGTGGTGATGATGATAATGATGATGATGATGATGATGATGGTGATGATGATGATGATGATGCTGTGGTTAATTATGATGATGATGATACTGGTGGTGATGTTTTTGTCTTGTGATGTTGAGGATGATGTTGCTGATGATAATGCAGATGCTGACTAGGATGATGACGAGGATGATGTTGATACTGATGATGGTAATGATGGTGGTGATGATGATGATGCTGATAATGACCATGGTGGTGATGATGATGCTGGTGAAGATGATGTTGCTGCTGTTGTTGATGATGATGATGCTGATGCTGATGATGATAATGATGATGCGGCGATGATGATAAGGATGGTGATGATGCTGTTGTTGATCGTGATGATGCTGACGATGACGATGAGGGTGATGATGCTTATGATGATGGTGATGGTGAGGATGATGAAGATGATGCTGATACGGGTGATGATGATGATGATGATAAGGGTGATGGTGATGGTGATGATGGTTATGATGATGGTGATGGTGATGATGGTTGTGACGATGCTGGTGATGATGATGCTGCTGGTGATGATGTTGATGATGCGAATGGTGATGACGACAATGATTATGATGCTGATGATGCTGATGATGATGGTATAGATGATCGTCATGATGATGCTGATAATGTTGATGACGATGAGGATAAGGCTTATGATGATGAGGATGAAGATGAGTATGATGAGGAGACGTATGCGGGTGGTGATGATGATGGTGATGCTGATGACGATGCTTTTGATGATGCTGCTGATACTGCTGCTGCTGCTCATGATGATGATGATGATGATGATGGTGATGGTGATGGTGATGGTGATGATGCTGATGCTGATGCTGATGCTGATGATGCTGTTGATGATGATGATGATGATGATGATGACGATGATGATGATGATGATGCTGATGATGATGATGATGATGATGATGCTGATGATGATGACGATGATGGGGAAGGAGGAGAAGGAGGAGGAGGGGGAGAAGAGGGGCTGGAGCGAGGATCGCGGATCCAGGAGCGAGGATCGAGGAGCTAGAGGAGGCGTGGCCGGAGGAGGATGGTGTGGAGAGTGAGGAGCGAGGAGCGAAGAGCGAAGAGCGAGGCGCGAGGGGCGAGGTGCGAGGAGCGATGCGCGAGCAAAGAGGATCGCAGGAACGACAAACGAGACGTGGGATGAGGACGACGAGGAGGAGGAGGAGGAGGAGGAGGAGGAGGAGGAGGAGGAGCGAGCGAGCGCGGAGGAGGAGAAGGAGGAGGAGGAGGACGAGGAAGAGCAGGAGGAAGAGGAGCAGGAGGAGAAGCGAGGAGCGAGAAGGGAGGAGCGTGGAGCGAGCTGCGAGGAGTGGGAGGATGAGAATGAGGAGGATGAAGAGGAGGAGGAGGAGGAGCGATGAGCGAGGAGAAGGAGAAGGAGGGGGAATGAACGATGAGCGATGGGTGGGGAGGGGAAGTAGCGAGGAGCGAGGTGCGACGTGCGAGGAGGAGGAGGAGGAAGAGGAGGAGGACACGGAGGAGGGGTAGGAGGAGGAGCGAGGAACGAGGCGCGAGGAGCGAGGCACGAGGCTTGAAGATCGAGAGGGAAGATCCAGAGGGAAGAGCGAGGAGGGTGAGGAGGTGGAGGTGGTGGATGATGGTGGTGATGATGTTGCTGATGATGATGATGATGATGATGCTGATGATGAGGAGGAGGAGGAGGAGGACGAGGATGAGGAGGAGGAGAAGAAGGAGGAGCGAGCGAGGAGGAGCGAGCGAGGGAAAGGAGCGACGAGGATCTGGAGGCGTAGCAGCAGCATGATAAGGCATATTCAGCGATGACGAGTGAGGACGAGCGAGGAGTCGGAACGAGGATCGAGGATGATGATGAGTAGGAGGATCAGGAGGAGGGGGAAGCGGAGGAGAATGCGGAGGAGGAGGAGGAGGAGAAGTGAGGATGATGATGATTATGATGCTGATGTTGATGATGATGCATATGATGATGGTGATGATGATGAGGATGATGATGATGATGCTGATGATGATGATGATGCTGATGCTGATGCTGATGCTGATGGTAACGATTATGATGCTGATGATGATGATGGTGGTGATGATGATGATTATGCTGAAGATGGTGGTGATGCTGATGTTGATGACGATGAGGAAGAGGAAGCGGAGGAGGAGGAGGAGGAGTCGGAGCGAGGTTGAGGAGCGAGGAGGAAGATGAGGAAGAGCAGCGTTGAGGACAAGGAGAAGGAGGATGAGGAGAAGGAGGGGGAGCGAGGTGCGAGGAGCGAGGATCGAAGAGGAGGAGGAGGAGGAGGAGGAGGAGGAGGAGGAGAAGGGGGGGAAGGAGCAAGGAGCGAGGAGCGATGAGCGAGAAGCTAGGAGCAAACGAGGAGCAAGAAGCAGGAGTAGGGGGAGCGACGAGGAGGAGGAGGAGGCGGAGGAGGAGGAGGAGGAGGAGGACGAGGAGGAGATCGAGAAGGAGGAGGAGGAATAGAGCAGGAGGAGGAGAAGCGAGGATCAGCGAGGATAAGCGAGGATGATGATGTTGATGGTGATGGTGATGTTACTGATGCTGCTGACGATGGTGATTATGATTATGATTGTGGTGATGCTGGTGATGAGTATGATGATGATGACGATGATGGTGGTGATGCTGATGATGATGACGACGCTGATGATGCTGACGATGGATGGTGATGATGACGATGATGGCGATGGCGATGTTGATGTCGATGATGATGATGATGTTGTGGTTGATTGTGATGGAGCTGATGTTGTTGCTGATGACGGTGGTTATACTGATGCTGCTGATTATGGTGATGCTGGTAATGCGGATGATGTTGGTGGTGATGTTGATCATGATGATCATGATGATGACGATGATGATGATGATGATGCCGATGATGATGATGTTGATAATGATGGTGATGCTGATGCTGCTCATTCATTATGATGTTGGATATGATGCTGATGCTGACGATGCTGATGATGATGATGATGCTGATGACGATGATGGTACTGATGATTATGACGGTGATTATGGTGACGATGATGTGCATGATGATGCTGACGAGTAGGATGATGATGCGGCTGACGATGATGATGATGATGATGATGATGATGATGTTGATAATGATGGTGATGCTGATGCTGCTCATTCATTATGATGTTGGATATGATGCTGATGCTGACGATGATGATGATGATGATGATGATGATGATGATGATGCTGATGATGACGATGATGATAATGATGATGGTGACGGTGATTATGGTGACGATGATGTGCATGATGATGATGACGAGTAGGATGATGATGCTGCTGACGATGATGATGATGATGATGATGATGATGATGATGATGATGATGGTGACGATGACGATGACGATGACGATGACGATGACGATGCTGATGATTTTGATGGATGCTGATGAGGATGCTGCTGATGATGATGAGGATGATGACGATAATGCTGATTTTGATGCTGGTAATGCTGCTGCTGATGCTGATGCTGATGTTGATGCTGCTGATGATGATGATGGTGATGATGGTGATGATGATGATGATGGTGATGATGCTGCTGATGATGATGAGGATGATGATAAGGGCGATGAGGAGGAGGAGTTGGATTGTGAGGATGAGGATAATTAGGATAAAGAGGCTGATGATGATGCGTATGATGTGGATGATGAGGATGATAAGGATGATGAGGTCCGTAGCCATTTTGGGTCAAGGCTCATGGGCTGAGCCCCTTCAGGTCCCCGCAGGCTCGCGCGCCCTGGGTAGGCGACGCCGCGATGAGGCGCGACCCCAGTGGGGAGGAATCGCGTGGCGACGTCTATATCTGCGACCTCTCGGGCGAGATCACGGAGTACGAGCTGAGGCAGGTCTTCCAGAATTACGGCGAGCTGACCTCCCTGGAACACGATAAGGAGAGCGCCTCCGCAAGAGTCCGGTTTGTGGACTCCAAGGCCGCCGAGGAGGCCCAGGACGTGCTCAACTACGCACTGCTGAAGGGGAGGACCTGCCGCTGCCTCACAACCAGTGTCGCCGAGGTCATTCGGCATTCCATGGAGGGCGGTCAGCGCTTGGTGGTCGAATGCCTCGACCCGAGCATCGAGAGCACGGGCCTGCGGGACGTGTGCGGCCTCTTCGGGTCGGTCCTGGACTGCAAGGTGGAGCTGGACGGCGACGAGCGGTCGCGCGGCTTCGGCTTCGTGCACTACGCGGACATGGAGGGCGCCGAGAAGGCCATGGAGTTTATGGAGGGCATGCAGATCGGATCCTCCAGGGTGGAGCTCCGGCTGTACGAACACTCGGACCTTGGCCTCTTCACGGGCTGTTCCTACGTCGTCTCCCAGGAGGCGTCCCGCGAGCAGGCGCGGCTCGCCGCGGCGGAGGAGGAGAGACAAAGGCAGGTGACGACCTTCTGGAAGTCCATGAAATACCACCATGTGGAGGTCGTGGAGGCCGAGGAGGCGAAGCTCCGTAGGCTGAAGGAGCTCATCCAGAGCTACAGCCCGGACCACGACCGGCAGATCCTTGTGATTGCTGGCGCGGCCGGCGTGAAGCCAGCGGTCGAGGTGGTGCGGCAGTGCTGCGAGGACACCGACCACGGCTCCCTGGAGGCGGGCGCCAGCGACCAGGACTTGAGGATCGCTGCCGAAGGCTTCGCGACCGGCAACCTGTACGTCCTGGTCGCAGCCGCAGACGTCGCCATGAGAGATAATGACCTCGGCAAGGCCGCGATGCTCGTGAACATGGAGCTCCCCCGCACCCTGTCGCAGTATCTCGAGAGGTTGCACAAGAGGGCGCGCAAGGACACGCGCGTGCACAGCTTCTTCTCGTCCCAGGCGGACGCGAGACTGGCGCGGCCGCTGGCGTCGGCGCTGGAGGGCGCCGGGCACGAGGTCCCAGTGGAGATGGTGGAGGTGCCCTCCGCGGCGGCGCGGTCCCGTGCGCTTGGTTAGGCCTGAGTGGGTGCGGTCGAGGCTTCGGCGTCGCTCGCCAGTCTCAATTCCTCCTCGCATCGAGTCTCTCCCCCTGCTCCTCCGTCTCATCCTCCTTAGAGTCCGCGGTACTGCAACTGCTCGTACGCTCTATTCGCAAGCAGGGTCATCCGATCGTGGCTTGCAGATCATGTCGCAGTGCCTTGCCGGCGCTCTTTCTGATCGTAGTTCTTGCGAGGAGGGGCTAAGATAGGAGGAGCATGGTATCGGGGGTGGGCACGGGGAGGTGGATTGCAGCCGCAGCTCTTTGAAAGGAAGGACGAGCCTGAGCCGTTCTGACCGTGCAGGCCAGGCTGGCGATCTGCTGGCATACTGGGCTGGTAGACAGGGCGAGCCCAAGTAACAAACAAGCAGAGATGAGGAGGATGAGGATGAGGATGAGGATGAGGATGAGGATGATCATGTGAGGATGGTGATGATGCTGATGATGTTGATGATGATAATGATGATGATGCTTATGGTGACGATGCTGATGGTGCTGATGATGCTGATGCTGATGCTGATGCTGGTGATGATGAAGCTAATGCGGATGATGCTGCTGATTAGAATGCTGATACCGATGATGAAGCTGGTAATGATGATGGTGATGATGATGATGATAATGATGATGATGATGCTGATGATTATGATGATGAACATGATGCTGATGCTGATACTGCTGATGATGATGATGCTGGTGATGACGATGCGGATGATGGTGAGTAGGATGATGATGAGGATGATGATGCTGATCATGATGATGGTTATGATGATGATGATGATGGTGATTATGATGATGCTGATGCTAATGACGATGCTGCTGCTGATGATGACGATGATGATGATGATGTTGACGATGCTGTTGATGATGATGATGGTGATGATGATGATGGTGGTGGTGATGATGATGATGAGGATGGTGATGATGAGGTTGATGCTGCTCATGATGATGCTGATGCTGGTGCTGATTATGCTGATGATGGTGACGCTGATGCTGATGCTGATGATGATGATGATGATGATGATGATGATGGTGATTATGATGATGTTGATGATGATGATGATGATGATGATGATGATGATGATGATGATGATGGTGGTGCTGATGGTGATGATGCTGTTGATGATGATGATGAGGAGGAGGAGGAGGAAGATGATGAGGTTGAGGAGGACGAGGAGGAGGAATAGGGTGAGGAACGAGGATCAGCGATGATATGCCAAGAGGAGCAGGACGAGGAGGAGGGGGATGAGCAGGAGGATGAGGAGGAGGAGGAGGGGGAGGAAGAAAAAGAAGAAGACGACGAGCAGTAGGAGGAGTAGTAAGAGGTGGAGCAGGAGGAGGAGGAGGAGGAGGAGCAGCAGGAGGAGGAGCAGAAGAAGGAAGAGGAGGAGGAGCGAGGAGGAGGAGGAGGAGGAGGCGCGAGGAGGAAGAGGAGGAGGAGGAGGAGGAGGAGGAGGAGGAGAAGGAGGAGGGAGGAGGGAGGAGGAGTAGGAGGAGGGGAGGAGGAGGAGGAGGAGGAGGAGGAGGAGGGGAAGGAGAGGAGGAGGAGGAGGGAGGGAGGAGGAGGAGGAGGAGGGGGAGTAGGGGAAGGAGGAGGAAGGAGGAGGAGGAGGAGAGAGGAGGAGAGGGGAGGAGAGTAGGAGGAGGCAGGAGGAGGAGGACCAGGACGAGGAGGAGAAGCAAGAGGAGGAGGAGGAGGAGGAGGAGGAGGAGGAGGAGGAGAAGAACGAGGAGGAGGAGGAGGAGGAGGAAGGAGGAGGAGGAGGAGGAGGAGGAGGAGGAAGGGAAGGAGGATGGGAAGAGGGGAAAGAAGACGAGCAGAAACGGGCAGGACAGCGATCTATTGCGCTCTGAAAGTAAATGTGATTTCCGTCCCAGTGCTGAGCAAGTAACGGAAAGAGCGAGGTACGAGTGATGACGTTCATTAGGGTCCCCAAGAGACTCCCAAAAAGTCTCAGAGACGCAAAGTGACACCATGGCTCCCAACAGCGAGCGGTGACGTAACAAGCTCTGAACACCAGGGCTCCCCAGAGCGCGGTGACGTAAAAAACTCTTCAGAGCAGGGCACCCAAGAACGAGGGGCAATGTAAGAGTCTGTGAACAGCAGGGCTCCCAACAGAGATCGGTGACGCAGCAAGCTCTTGACGCCAAGGCTCCAGAGAGCGAAAGGTGCCATGCGCCATCTGGGGCAAGTTCCTGCAGCGCTCTTGCCGTTCCCGTGCCGTCCCCGGTGACGGAAAGAGCGAGGTACGAGCGATGTACGTTGAGTTGGGGCGAAGCCTTCACGGGAGGAGGTGGTGGTTGTAATGGCCGCCGGGGGGCCGCTTCCTTCGTAGTTGTGTCGAGTGAAGCGGCTCCCGGGCGGCTCTGATGGCTTGTTTCCAAGTATGTGTTCGATTGAAGCGGCCAAGGCCCCAAGACGGCCCAAGAGTGCTCCAAAACGGCCCCAGAGGGCCCCAAGACGGCCCCAAGAAAGCTTCAGATGGCCTCCAGACGGTTCAAGAGAGCTTCACGACGGCTCCAGAGGCCTTCAAGAGGACCCCCGAGAGGGCCTGAGGAGGCCCAAAACATTGATGTTCCATTGGTGTTTGAAGGTTTTTCGGGTTCTCCCCCCTTTTCGTGTCCAGAAGGGCCCCAGACGGCCCAAGAGGTTCCAATCCAAAGATCATCCCAAGGCGGCCCCAGAAGCGCACCAAAGGAACCGAAGACGGTCCAAGAGGGTCCCCAGACGGGCCCCAGACGGTCCAAAGGCCCCAAAGATCGTCCCAAGACGGCCCCAGAGGTCCCCAAAAGGGCCCGAAAGTGCTTCAAGACGGCCCAAGAGGGCCCCAAGACCGTCCCAAGAGGGCCCCAAGATGGCCCCAGGAGAGCCCCAAGAGGGCCCCAAGAGGGTCCCAAGAGGACCCGAAGAGGCGGTATGGGGACTGGGCTGCTTGGGTGTGGGGACTGGGCTGGCCCCCAGACGGCCCAAGAGGGCCGAAAGGGCTTCCAAAAGGGCTCCCAAAAGGGCTCCCAAACGACCCCTAAGAAGTTACAGAGATGCCAAGGAGCACCATGGCTCCCAACAGCAAGCGGTGACGTGACAAGCTCTGAACACCAAGGCTCCCCAGAGCGCGGTGACGTAAAATGCTCTTAACAGCAAGGCACCCAAGAGCGAGCTGCAACGCACAATTCTGTGAACACCAGGGCTCCCAACAGAGAGCGGTGACGCAACAAGCTCTTTACGCCACGGCTCACAAGATCGAAAGGTGTCATGCGCCGTCTCGGGCAAGTTCCTGCAGCGCTCTTGCCGTTCCCGTGCCGGCCCCGGTGACGGAAAGAGCGAGGTACGAGCAATGTGCGTGGAGTTGGGGCGAAGCCTTCACGGGAGCAGGTGGTGGTTGTAATGGCCGCCGGGGGGCCGCTTCCTTCGTAATTTTTGGAGTGAAGCGGCCCCTGGGCGGCTCCCATGGCCCGTTCCCTTGCATTTTTAGAATGGAGCGGCTCAGGGCCCCAAGACGTCCCAAGCGGATCCCAAAACTGCCCAAGAGGGTACCAAAACGGCCCCAAGAGAGCCTCATATGTCCTCGAGACGGTCCGAGAGAGCCTCACGACGGCCCTAGAGGCCTTCAAGAGGGCCCTCGACAGGGCCCTCAGGGGCAACAAAACAATGGTTTTCTATGATTTTTGCCGGTTTTGGGGGTTCTTGCCTTTTCGACCCCAAAACGGCCCAAGAGGCCCCAAAGGCCCCCCAAAGGGCCCGAAAACAGTTCAATAAGGCCCCAAGGCGTCCCCAGAGAGGCCCAAACGGCCCAAGAGGGCCCCAGGACGGCCCAAGAGGGCCCCAAGACGGCCCCAAGAGGGCCCAAAGAGGCTCCCACGAGGGCCCCAAGAGGCCTCCAAGAGAGCCCCAAGACGGCCGAAGGCTTCCAAGACGCCCCAAGGCGGCCCAAAAGGGCCCCAAGACGTTCCAACATGGCCCCGAAAGGGCTGCAAAAGGGCCCCCAGAAGACTTCGCAAAGCCCAAGAGATGCTCCAGAATACCGTGGCTCCCATCAGCGAGCGGTGACGTAACAAGCTCTTGACACCAAGGCTCCCCAGAGCGCGGTGACGAAAATTATCCCGGCAAAGCAACCTAACAGCGATGTGTAGGAGCATATCTGGAAGCATTCCCCTTAAGATTCAGATGAGAATCCAGTTGTAGAATTCTGCTGTTCTCGCAGTCGTAGTCGCATTCGCGATGACAGTCGCAGTGGCAACGGCAGTCGCAGTCACAGCCTCAGCCTCAGCCTGCCTCAGCCTCAGCCTCCGCCTGCCTCAGCCTCAGCCTGCCTCAGCCTCAGCCTCAGCCTGCTTCAGCCTCAGCATCAGTCTGCCTTCGGCCTCGGCCTCAGCCTCAGCCTGCCTCGGCCTCAGCCTGCATCAGCCTCAGCCTCAGCCTCAGCCTGCCTCAGCATCAGCCTGCCTCAGCCTCAGCCTCAGCCTCAGCCTGCCTCTGCCTCAGCCTCAGCCTGCTTCAGCCTCAGCCTCAGTCTGCCGTCGGCCTCGGCCTCAGCCTCAGCCTGCCTCAGCCTCAGCCTGCATCAGCCTCAGCCTCAGCACGAAGCGACCCAGCTAGAAGGACAAAGCGCTGAATGTACACCGATGTGTTCGACGACTGCGTATGTAATGATGTGACGATATACAGACTGAGCCCTTCGTGAATGTCTACATGTTTTTCTGACGCCTACAAACGGCGCTGACGTGTGTGAGAAAATTGTCCGCGCAGCAAAAGCCGGCGAAGCGTGCGGGAGCTCGCATGCTGAGACAGACTACGTCTGCAGACCGCCAGCTGCAAAAGGTTGCGAGCGGTTCTTGGAAGATGTTCGGAACGGAGCTACGGTGTCTGAAAACATTGGCATCGAAGCGAAGAGCCTCGGAGCCCTGCAGCCTGAGAAACACCGCAGGAACTCGCATACTGAAAAGGAATGCATTGCAAACCGCACGTTGGGAACCCTGCAGG